CAAATGGTCCATTTGGAAATATCTAAGTCATGCTTTGTAAGGAGAATTTGTTTTAGTTTTCGTGTTGAAATAAATTCATTTTCTCGTGTTAACTGCCGAATCACGTCCCTGACAACTTTCTTATCACAGGAATCTAACTTTAATTTCCTATCCTGTTTTGAGATACCCCCTAAAGGATATGCAGGGGAGCATGTGTTTTTATGAGAGTTCAAAATGTTAACTACGGTTTGTTTTGGAAGCTGTAACGCATGAATTGTTCTTTTCATGTACTTTGAAATGTCAAAGAAGGGCGAACGTCTTTCACTTTCAGCCTTAAAGTATTCAAATATTTTAACAACGAAACATTTCGCATCAGCGGAAAGATGCTTGCGCTGAGACATGAAATCTAATGCTAACACCGTATTCGTACGTGCGTGATTCCCGTGCAACCTTTCGAGGTGAGTTGATTGGTTCAACTGTGTCATATGGCCCTGTGACACAGTGTTAGCATTATGCAGATGGCTGTTACAATGAATGCTCGTTCCACCCGTGACGAACAGGTCTGGTTGTTGATGAAATATAGGCCTAGTGATAGCTCAATAGACAGATTTTTTATTCATGCAGTGATTGTCTTTAAATGTAATATCCAGTTATGTATGACTGTTTACCAACTTTGACTGGAGTAGGTCCATTAGTGTTTCAGATATTGTAGTAAACGTCGGTACCTTAATTAACTTCCAGACTATATATGACGTCGGTCTTTAAATAATTGAGTCTGGGTCAGACAATTCAGTGATCGATGTCAAGAGCACCGATCCACGCAGAGACCATTTATATTTATCGGTATATGGTCTCTGATCTACGCAATTGGGATACGATGACATGCATCAACCAAGTCAACGATCCTGACCATCCGAACCCGTTAGTCGCCTCTTACGACAAGCATGGGTTGTGGAAGTCATATTCCAACACGGATCTTCACGGGTGTCTCGCATAAGTCGCTGTCAAACGAGGCCTATTCTCCGATGAATCAGAATCAAACTGTTTTTCTATCTTGTGTAATTGCGTGGAAGATATATAAATCAATTAATTACCAGTATCAGCGGACCGCATTGTGAAATGTCAAATCAAAATACAACGTTGAATGTATTCTTCATGTTCCAGCTTAGCAACATGTTCCGGAAGTGCCCCACGATGTTCTGTACCGAAACGGCAAAGTGCCAAAACGGCATATAGATTAAAACGGTCCCAAGCAATGACTAAAACGGAATGTTCTATGCACAATACTTCTCAACAAGCAAGAACCCATTTAAACTTTAAAACAAAACACGCCGCTGATTACTTTCTCCAACATGTACATAATATCTATTTGCAAGTATAATTATATTTTTTGGTTGAAAAATTAGATTCCCTCGGCAAGCCTAAGAGTTTAAACTTTTATCGACTCGTGTCATTGAAAGAATGATTTTGGGTGATAAATACTGATTGAAACAACTGATTTACATCTAACACAAATACCAAGTGGTAAGATGAGTTTTATCCGCTTCAAAAACATTATGTTAGTACATACACAGTTACATGAGCTATGACGACAACGATGACCTCAAAGCTGCAGTGAATGGGTATTTCAGGGTGGCTTTAGAAAATTTCTTCCTGACTGGAATTGAAAAGCTTCACTATTGATATAGAAGTGTCTTGAAAAGCAGAGAGATTATGTTGGAAATTAAAATTGGAAACACTTTCACATTTGTTGATTTGCATAACACGTGACCGGACTTTTCTCTTGTTTGTTTTCCTAGATGTGTAGTGTGGTAGACGTGTCAAAAATGAAACAGAAGAAAAACATATGCAATATCCTGAATGGACTGTGTGAGATGTGACGAATCGCCACATGGTGCTGGCCTGTGGCAGAGGTATATTCGGACCCCGTGGTACCGCGGCATTCATCGTATCGCGGCATTTGTGATTTCCGATAGTTCACGCGGGACACGCCTAGCTCTTAGCGGCTGTCTATTAATGCAAATCAGTAACCAGGAAGTGCTCACTTCGTGCACAATTTCAATTTCCTCGGAATGTTCCGTCTGCTGTAAGTAAGGAGTTATTAATGCGTTGATACTTACTTCTGGCATCATTTTTGATATTGCCTTACCCCCATCTATCAATGGCCAACGATATAACCCGCCGTTCCCCAGTAAACTTTCTCTATCGACCTGAACTAGATCATCTGCATATTCATGGCGACTAATAAGGTAACGGAAGTTACGTAGTCTGCACATTTTTTCCCGCTCAGTGCCCAGAATCTATTGGAAGATCATAAGGGCCATAATGCCAAACTTAGAAATACGTTCTTCACTAGTTGCCAAAAGATAAATACATACTTTGGGCATACTAGGAGTGCTTTTTATATAGTTATTGTTGACTCTTGACATTTTTCCATTTTGTGAAAAATCATGTCATCCAATTTTTTTTATGACCAATCTTAGAATATCATTTCTGATATTTTGTTGTTGACTTTAAATACCTATTACTGATAACACATTTAGAATTTTACTTGTGCTGTCTTTGCACTTGTCTGGACAAATCACTGATGTCTGGCATGATCATACCAAGTGGTTGGTAGAATTATGTCCTCTTTTTGTCCAATTCGGACCTCCATACACAACTTTTCTCTGTGCCGCGATACGATGGAGTTCTCTCCCTTGTCAAACAGAGCCCGGCTTTTACACGGAGCTACTGATGTAAATAATGAACTTTTATCAGTAAAATATGCATTGTTTGATGAAAAAATAAATGATATCTGATATAGAGAACACGAATAATCATAAAGGTGAGTGAGTGCATTTTGTTCCGTTTAGCGTACATGACAAGTACCGCGATACCCGGACACACTGGGTAGGAAAAGAACGTCAAAATGTGTCGCTCTTTTACCATTATGAACGTCAGTTTAGCGGTCAGGTGATCGGCCTCTCGTGCAATGGAAAACTCGTATATCATGTAAACTTCACATTAACAGTTTGCAGGCAAGTACAATACTACCCATGCTTACAGGCTGCATTTGAACCAAATACACAACATGGCAGCATATTTCTGCAGGCATCCAAGTGAGTAGGTATTATCTGTTGTTGAATGGACACAACCCGCTACCGTGGTGTCGTCAAATATTTCCGTCTGAAACTCCAACAGCCATCCATATGGACATGGAAGCGACTGGAGGGAATGGTGCTCCTTTCATTTGCCAACGTAAGAGGCGGAGTTCAAGTAGAGACGAGAGAGCCTCCAAGATGATCCAAGATAAGAGTGAGTGAGTTGGGTTTAATTAACGGCGATTTTAACCGTATTCCCGTTATATAACGGCGTGTCAGCTTAATGTGGGAGGAAAGAAAGCCCGAAGTGATGCAGGTCTTATAATTATCAAATGATAAGTTAACTCCATTAACGCGCAGTCCATCATATGCGTTTCAGAGCTAATAAGCCGCCTCTCGTGTTGGCTGTGAATGGCGAGGTGCTTGTGCGTGCATACATGTAAGACTATTTGGTGCACGCCTGTATTTGGTGCTCATTATTTTATGGTCTCCGGGGGACCGTATCAATGCTCAAGGAACTCTGGGTACTTGCAATGTATTTTGTGTTTTTGTCAATTCCAAACAATATCATAATAATGAAATGAAATGTGTATACATATGTGAAGAATGTGAAATACGTACATGGTGATGTCGAATTACTTGTATATCTACGTAATAGTAGACATGTCCTCGTATTTGGATTTTCGGACGCTTAAATAAACATTCGTAGTTTTCTCGCCATTCACATGAACATCTGTAAAACATCTTGCTCACTTATGAAAGACAACTTTATCTCAAAACAGGCCATCAACCGAGTATATACAAAGTCACTATGACACCACACCTCTCGTTATAGCGCGAGTAATAACATGGCCGCCAGAAAACATACGACGTCAGACGATATAGATCTAGTGCTGACAACGAAAGACAGTTTTGACGGGGTCCCGTTTTAGTCTTTTCCTCTCTAGGGGAGGTAACTCTAAATATTCCCGATCAAAACAGTTGTTCTCCAAAACCATTGGCATTAAAATCAGATCTTAGTTCTCGCTACGGCTAAACAATGCTTTGTTTAGCGGTAGCGAGAACGGAGGTCTGATTTTAATGAGATTGTCTCCAAACTGAATAACCAATGTACTTCTCTGTAAAGAATACCCTGGCAAAATCAAAGTACCTTTTTTGGTGGAACACACCCCAACTCTCTTTCGCATATAAAGGTCATTTCTGGTGTTCCCCTCCGTAATACTGGAGATAGACTGTCGTTCTAAAGCGGCGTAAAAACATACCCACATACAGTGATCAGCGGTTTCCCAAGTAACCGGTTGTCTACGTTCTTGTGCTTTCAAACCTCAGACGTTTTTTTCGCGATAATGAACAAGAATAGGCTATCATGACGACGTCTTCAAGCGCGTGCACCTGTATTTCGGCCAGGAGACAAATTTGATTGGTTTGTTTGTTGTTTAACGCCACACTCAGCAATATTCCAGCTATAAGATCGTGCTATGTAATCGAGTCTGGACCAGACAGTCCAGTGACGTCAGGATATCATGCTTGATATTAATTGGGATACGATGACATGCATCAACCAAGCGAGCCTGACTACCCGATCCCGTGCATTTGTCGCCTCTTAAGACAAGCATGAGTTGCTGAAGACCAATTCGAACAAATCTAAATGCAGAAACAGCCAGGAAGGTATATCGGGTACATTTCTTTAGTACCCTACTAGATCTATAAGATAATAATCTCCAAAAAGCAAAGTAACTGTAAATAACTAGCCTTTTAACTACGCTCAAAAAACAATAAATTCATCTTCATTTTGCCTCTTCAAGAAAACTCGTATTGTATGATGTAAATACAGTGAGTTGCCGTGGTTACGACAGACATCCTTCTCCTATGACTGTTCTGTTCCTATATTCTTTATCACCAGAACATGTAGACTAATGACTGCAAATCACCAGGAAGTTGATCAGCATGATTTATTTGATGAAAACATACAATTTAAGCAATACATGCAATACATGGCTCCTGAGAGGAATTACTACCATTGAACAAAGGTGAAAGTTAATTACAGCATTACATAGAGCGTCATGCTCAATACTGATAATAAACTTTTCTACATCGAGATATTTGTATTTCAATCCTTATTTGTAACAAGATATATATACCAACCATATATTTGAGTAAACTGATTAGAAATACGTTTTCTGACGTTATGACAAAGCACAGATTCAAATGAAAAGAATCACCATCTTAATGTATTTGAGAAATATATTTTTCGTTGTGCAAAAAAATAAATAGAAGCGCTTCATGTAAACTACAGCAAGTCCACGTAGGTAGATGATCATATCTGAATAAACCTGATTATCGCATGATCCAAACACCCAGGGCAAACATGCATACACACTTGTATGACATGCTCCCTGAAGTAAGAAGCACCACATCCACACCTTAATAAAGATCGTCCAGATACCCAAATACATATTGTCATGGAATCATTGTAGTTTACAACCTGTGCTACGTGATGAACACCGTCACCGTCCCAAGTATTGTTTTCTTGCACACGATGCATTCATTCACTTTAGGTGCGCAAGCAGAGCACGTGACCAGATGGCCACAGGGAAGGAACAGTTCACTGACAATCTCCTTCTCGCATACCCTGCACGTGCGTCTCTGTTTCAGAAGCTTGTTCTCCTCCGCCAACCGCCGAGACGAGGGTCTCATTGGAGGATCAGTGCGGGAAGTCGACGATGTTGTGGCTAGTTTTGTATCCGAAGAAGTTAGAGTTGTAAGAGTGGAAGGAGTGTTTTTCTTTCTTGCCCCTTGTTTTGAAGATGGAACATTGTCTCCTGAAGTGTACGTTCTGTCAGCCTGTGTAGATGGCGTTGTTGCAGCCCACAGTAAAGGAAGGGTCACGCTTTTTTCCGTTGTCTGACTTGTTAGGTTATTAGCTTTTTCAGGTACTCGTCTTTGGTTAGATGCACCAGTAGATGTCGTATCCTGTATGTGGTTTGTAGCACCAGTGGCTTCTTGGCATGCACCAGATGGTTCACAAGGGTTCTGTCTGCCCGCGTCATTTGTCAGAGAACCTTCAGATTGTTCGGTCTTCTCTCCTTCAACTGTCCTCGTAGCAACTCCGAGTTGGTTCAGGTCTGTCTTGTTGATGAACTGACAGTGTTCCGAGTATCTCTGATGTTCGACCACAGGATCATGTTCTTCCTCCCAGTCTCTCAGAGTTATCCCACACTGGAAACACGTGACCCGGTCAGCTGACCCGATGTAAAAGAAGCCAGCTGCTGCCAACTCCTCGGGAGTTTTGGGCACATATCTTCTCGGCCAATCAACGAAGGAGTCTAGACGTGCCCGCAAATGTTGGTACTGGGGATGTTTTGGGGGCGGAGTCTGTCCCAGCTTCCGGTACAAGGAGACGATGAAGGGGCAGTGAGTCCTCCTGGTGGCGTGTTCGTGTAGGGCGTCATCTGTGTCCGTCCAGTTGAGGAGCTTCAGACCACAGCGTTCACACTCCACCTTGTCACCGATACCTATAAAGTTCACGGACAATGCAAGGCGATGAAAGTTGTACAAGATAAGGCAAATATTGCGATTTGGGGCTTGATTGCGCATTTTAACAGTACAGATATTTCAATTACATGAAGACATGCAAGCTTAATGCTTGAGAAGAAGCCTAAAAACGTCACTTGTGTAGTGAGACCCATTAGCAGAGGGATTGTGCTGACAACGAATCTGGGATTCGAACCTAGCATCAAAATATCCTCAAATTGCTAAGAAGAGCATTAAAATTTTTTAACCTATGCTGGTCCTAAGAGGCGACCAAATGGATATGGTGGTCATGCTTGCTTGATGGCGTGTCATCGTACTTGGCTGTCTGGCTCAGACTCGACTATTTCCAGGCCGCCGTCATATTATTGCGGCCTTAAACCAACCAACCAACAAACAATCTTTATAACCAGTATTTGTTCTTGTGTAAATACTACGTTGAGTACTTAAGAGTCCTATCGTCTGGAAGACGACTGGAAGATGCATTTGGAGGTGTATTAACACATATATCTAACAGCTTGTATTTAATGTCTTTTCAAAATTCAAGCAAGGGTATAGAAATACAGTCTAACCTGGTTATAACGCCCAAGGTTGCCAGAACGGATTTCCCACCATTAAAATTCCCTGGATATATAACTGGTTATACCGCCAACCTTCCTCAGAACAAATGTTCCAATGCCTTTGCAAGGTGGTCAACTTCAGCACACCAGCTGCTATGATCAGGTGATACAAATTACTTTGCTATGTCCACTCAGTACACAAATAATATATACGTTATATTTTTTCTGTTACATATGCATGTACTGATTAAAAGTCTCGTTACATTACACTGAATTTAATTAATGTACATGTAATCATGTATGCTTGTTTTTGACCGAGTAGAAGGTCTTTCCTGGTTATAAAGCCACCCAGGTTATAACGCCAAACTCTTCCTGGAAAATATTGGCACCAGGGTAGACTGCATTGCAAAGGTAGTTCCTCTTACCATTTCAGCAAAAGTGAAGACGTCTCGGTTCCTGATCAGCCTAACGTCTTTCTGTCTAACAAATTCTTGTACTTGATTGTAAACAGAAGGATTAACAGCCAGGCGCTGCAGGGTAGCCATGCATGATACAATGTGTGAAACCAATCTTTTTAGTTCAACGCTCTGATACTGCTTGAGCACTATTAAACGCAGCGGGAGAACACAGTCTCCCACTTTATTCTCTGAACCACACTAATACAACACCATTCGACATTCCACACAACTTACTGTGAATATCTGGCGTGTTGAGTCTATTGTACGTTTTCGACAGTGTCAAGACAATGATATAGTGTTTCTGAAATACTGTCAAATAGGGATGATACCAGGGCCCACTTGCACAAAGCAATCTTAGCGCTAAGACTGTTGTAAGCCTATGCTGAAGTATGGGAGTTACGATCATCTTAGCGCTAAGATCGCTTTGTGCAAGTGGGCCCAGGTGTTCATGAACAGGTGAGTATATCCTGCCTCACCGATGGCACCCGCAACAAGCACAAGCAGGGGCAAGTCAATTAAAAAAACACGGGAACATATAAAAGTCGAAATAGGGAATTGCATCGGATATAATTTTTGTCATTGATGCGTCACTGAAACGCCTTCCACATATCTTCCATAAAACGTTTTGAAGGCTTTGCTGAGGCCTTGAATGTTGATACCCTACTCAACAACTATTGAGCAAGAGTCGTATGAGGCTATTTGAAATCCATTTGAGCATGCTCAAAAGTTGGAATATTGCTCGACAGAATGTTGGCTATTGGAAAGTTGAAGTCATACTTTTTGTCATACAGTCTTCTGGAGAGTCTCTTTATCCCTCCGAGTCTTTATGCATAGATCAAAATGTGAAACAGATGAGACGGTCCCACTTGTGTCTTTTATTTCTATATCAGGTGCTATATCAGTGGAAGGGACTTAGCTTGTTGGCCATAACTGAACGATTCCAGATCATCGGTATACCCGAAGATCAAGTTAAACCTCTTCTGATTTTTTCCAAATAAGCAGAAATTCCTATTTATATGCATACAGAAACAGATCAGCAAGAAGAGGGAGACAGTTGGTGCCTCAAGGGATGCCTACTTCTTGACCAGATGTCTAATCCTCAAATTTCACACAGATGTTATCAATGGGAAAGTACAAACATCGACAAATGACATCTCCTACCACTTTTGACAAATTGTCCTGATCCTCTGAAGATAGAGATGTAACTTTATCTATGATCATAGCGTTTGGTAATATATGTTCCATGGATCAAGGAATAAATATCGGTTTGTCGTGTGCGATAGTGATGTAAAGAGTTGAAAAATCAAATGTTTTGACAGAATTGAACTTGGTTGCTTTCTGAGATTGTGAAAGTTCAAGGAAATCCTTTGAGGTTTTGAGAATCCACATGGTTTTAATTCCACTAGTGTCAAATAATTTCTGGAAGTATAAAGAAGTCCTTCCTTGGTTTTATTAAATATCGTTGTTAATATTTGAGACGGGGATTTGGTGGTACATTTGCTGGACCCAGTAATATATCTTTCTTCGTGTGGACTTTTATGGAGCATTGTAATCAAGTACAAATTGGACATGTCTTTAGATGTTAGAATAAGTCAAAAGGTGATACCCTGATGCATGGTTTGTGCAGATTTCTTTTCCAGTTAACATACGGACCAAATAATGTGGCATTATTTGATATGTCTTTTGTGCCAAGTTATACCATGTCAATTACTGCATTATTTTTAGCAGTGGGTTTCAAGCCGTTGTCATCATCATTTCAACTCAAACACCGCAGCCTGCAGAATGAACCCAAACAAGGCTATGTAGCTCACCTGCATTTTTCTGGAATATCATTTTATATAAGAACGGTCATACGAGTGCAAAGGAGGATACGCCGAAGAAATAACATGATCCCCTAGTACATAGCGTCCCCTAACAGTGCATTACATCAGAGAAGTCACAGGTTGTAGTTTGGACAAATATCACAACATATAGCAAAAACATAATGTGAGCGCCTGGTGTCGCCACCAAGTTTAAGTGATCTAATAATATAATTTCCACGGCTATTTTCTCTTACTAATAATTTTGACAGTCGTTTTTTTCCATTTTCTTAGCTACAACATTGATTGAATAAGAAACAAACGTTCAGCTTAATAAATGGGGTTTTAAAGAGATGTCAAAAATGCAGTAAAACTATGGATAAATGGTGTTATTTGATGGTTCAAAACCAAAGATCATGCACAAACAAACGCACATTGAATGCTATTTTCTATATGTACCTGTCATAAAAAAATGACCCTTTTATAAAATTCAATGACACTTGCAGCGACCATATCTCTCGCCGCTAATGTTTGAGTTACCAGATCCTGTTGATTACGTTTTTTGATTTGCCAGCACCATACCACTGCTTGTGAATTTCACCAAATAGTTAAACGCATGCTTCTCTTCGGGTTCCCCTCTAACATTAAGCTGACAAGCCTTGATCTAACTGTAATACTGTTCAAAGTATAGCAGTAAGCCCGACCTAGTCGCTCACTCACTCACTCACTCACTGTAGGGGTGTGATCCGCTGCGTACCCTTCTTCCCCTACTCTCGTCTGGGGTGCGTCTGGGGAAGGGACAGCGGTCTCGTACATCAAGCTTGGTAGACATCGCATCCGTACGATCATACTAAATCAGAAATTGAGTAGCATATGGAACCACATAACATGTTCTCCCCAAATAATCACCTTGCACCACTGAATACCAAATATAATAAACAAGGGAGATAACTATGGATATACAACTATATTACAAAGACTGCGACGTTTCGGTGTAAATACTAACACTGTTATCAAGCTAGTGATGAACATCAATGTGAAGTAGAAGGTTATGTGGATAATTGATGTCCATACAAGGTAATATTTATACAACAGATAATGTATATAAGTATAAAGCCTGGTCGATGTCCATCAATAGGATTAACAAGGCACGGTGGGTAAAACAATACAGGGATTGATATGGACAAGTTGATTGGAGAGAGGAGATACGATTATATACGTCGCAGTCATTGTAATAAAGAAGTTGTATATCCATAGAATTATCTCCCTTGTTCATCATACCAAGTTCTAAATTCGAGGCTATTTTCGCCCCACTGGAAAAGTGAAATTTTAAAGATATTGAAATGTTTTTTTCTCTTTTGCACTACTCCAAACTTTGCCACGAACATAAGAATGCTAAAGTAAGTGGACAAACAAAGGCCTTCAAGATGCAACCTACGCATGAGTATTTCCCTGGGCCAAGGTGATATTTTTAATTTTTGTTTGTTTGTTGCTTGAAGACGCACTCAGCAATATTCCACCTATATGACGGCGGTCTGTTAATAATTGAGTCTGGACCAGACAATCCAGTAATTGATGTCATGAGCATCGATCCACGCAATTGGGATATGATGACATGCATCAACCAAGTCAGAGAGCATGACCACCCGATCCCGTTAGTCGCGTCTTACGACAAGCATAGTCACCTTTTACGATATGTCACCTCTTGGGTATTCATATAAAATCTCTTGGCCTTTACATTACGTATTATAATAATTTCCATGCACACAGGTTAAAAAGCCTGTTTTATCTGTTTCACATGAAGACATCAGCTAACTTTCATAACGATTTGTAATTTCTTTGCTGATTTCTGAATTATGAGGGGCGCGGGGAAATTCCATTTCGCCCCGATCATGTTTCTAGGGTTTTCAGCACCATACCCATGCTCGGGGGTTTAACCATTGCGGTAATTAAACGATTTTAACGTCTTAGACCTGCACCAATTCGGGTTTTTCTTCCACATCATGCTGACACGCCGTGATTTAACATGAATACTGTTTAAATCGGTATTAAACCCAGCCCACTCACTCACTCTGAATTATTCAGTCCCTGTGTTCCAAATGGTCATTCAGAAATTGTAATTCTGTCTGTGTTACAGCCTACACATGGAGAATCAATAGACACATTCACGATGTCTTTAGGTAACGGGAATGGATTTGGAGGCAGTTCAGGTCAAGTTGTCATTAGGTATACTGATGAATACCTGTGTAGATGAAGCCTGCTTTCGCCAAGGTGTCCCTGTCTTTTCTTCCCGTCCACGCAGCATATGTCCCGAGACGTCGCGAGAAATCACCCTCCCTGGAAATCCCGCTCCAAGCACAAGCTGTCCAGCTGTCTGTCAGTGTAACGGTAGTGTCGGTACCGGCCATTGATGCAGTATTTAAGCTTACAATGTATGCACACGCTCACTTCTCCAGATGAAGCGAACTGTCATATGTAACTGGTTATCTTTACGAAAGCCTCAGACTGTGACGTGGCGTTATATCGAATACTGAACGCGTGGCGCTATTTATAGAAGCAGTTCGTTGGCACATTTACTATACTGGTTTCGTGTTAACTGATTTGGTAAACGGTGTTATTCTCCGCCCCCCCCCCCCCCCCTCTTATTTATCCAGGGCTGTCTAGGTAGATGTTAGTAACACAAAAGGTGCATACAATACGTCAATCAGTAACCAGTATCTTAATCACTGGTTAACACGTAGACCCTGAAGGAAATATGTCCAATACAGCCCATGTAAGCCTCTAATGTTTGGCAAGTCTAGATTACTACAGTATGAAAGTGAAGAAAGTTTCGGGGCTCCTTTTTATTATATTTTATAACTACAACTTAACAACTGTTCTTTTTCTGTAAAATATGTTTATTTCAGAGACTAGATGTTGGTCTAATTAACGCGGTGTGGGTGACGAGGGCAGTGTATGACCCGTGGAGTAAGGTCACAGCCATTGACAGTGTAAACACACATTGTATAAACGATCTAGACAAAACGTTGCATTTCAACATCCGGCAAACTATTTACTTACAAAAACATACGACTAATGAGAGTTGTCGATTAAACATATGAAAGACGTTTGTATTAAACCTGAAACATCTAGGCTTTCTGTATAGGTGCATGCAGTATTCAGCTAACAATGTCACAGGCCTGTATTTAGTCACATCTGATCCGTAAGTTATAACTCTTACCATACAAGCGCAGGGGTCGATAAATGCCGCAAGGATTACATTAATGTACACGGCATGTGCTTAGGTCCAACGTAAATGGGTTTAACAAAGTGTGATATTTCTTTACTATTTTTATACATGTTTGCTGTACATCATTTTACACGTTTTAGTCTCTCTTAACTCTGTATTGAGTGGGCTAAGTAATAATTTATGTTGTTTTATATATGTTTGTAAATTTTATACTATATTACTGGGGTGTGACTCAAATAAACAATTGTCTGTCTGTCTGTCCAAAAAAGAGGCTCATGTCAAGATAACGTTTGGGAGACTCGACTCTGCAGTGCTCTGTCATGATGTGGTGAGATGAGTTTGGTAAACACCGCGGTCACACTGACCTTGAGGTGACTTCGGTATATAGAAGGAAGGTAGATTGTCGCCCTTACACCGTAACGAGTTTCCAGCTAGATGCTTTGAAATGAAGTGAAAACTCTTAGTGTAATTCCACAAAACTATTGATTGTATTAAAAAATGAATATGGACTGAAAGCATGTAGGTTGTGTTTTGACACCCACTGTTAGCAGCATTCCACAATATAAGGTAGGGACGCGATGAAATGACTTCATTTACCGTTGTACCGATGTTGGCAATCAATCACGGTTCCTCTGCATGAGGAGCGAGCTTTACGACCAAGCAGCTCGACCAACATAGTATTATTAGTCATGGTGTCTTTAGTTGCCGTTTACGGTGTCATATTAGGTCAGCAGAAAGGCCGAGCCCAATATTTCTTCTGCTAACCTAATATGACACCGTATACGGCAACGAAAGACACCATAACGAATTTATTATGTCGAAAGTTTACACTCTTTGGCATCCATATCGCACGTGTCTTGTCAAAATGAAAACTTGACACTTACAACTGAACGTTGACATGAAGGGTCAAAGGGAGACTACTCTTCAAACCTTGGAGGCCAAACCTTGTTGAATTTTTTAACTATAATCTTTATCAATAAAGTAAAGAACCTGATCTAAAAAACAGATCAATGTCCTTGCGCCATTAATGATAGTAAAACACAAAACAGTGTCAAATAATGAATTTCAGTACCAGAATTTCCATGTGAAATATGTGAGGCGGGTGTTGGAAAATCCAAGATGGCTGTTACTGACGGTATATGGTCTCATATTAGGACAGTATCAACCATCTTGGATTTTTACTGACGGTATACGGGCTCACGTGGGGGGTCAGTAGATCTGCTCTCTGATTGGTCAATCTTACTTTGAGGCATAATAAATAATAATACAAGCACGGATACATTTTTTTTGGTAATAGGGGATGTGCCCTTTGGGATGAGAATTTAATATACAAGTGCCTTAATGGGCATAATCCGCGAAGCAATTCGTGTTTGTAGTCATGTTATGAGTCTTATCACTAAATGAGTAATAGTTTTTTTAATCATCAACTGGAGATATTGGGTGAGATCAAGCGATATCCCCTAGCATATCATAAAATTCCATCACAATGGTGACTATGCTTGTCGTAAGAGGCGACTAACGGGATCTGGTGGTCAGGCTCGCTAAGTTGGTTGATGCATGTCATCGATCCCAATTGTGTGGATCGATGCTCATGATATCAATCACTGGATTGTCTGGTCCAGACTCGATTATTTACAGACCGCCGTCACATAGCTGGAATATTACTGAGTGCGACGTTAAACAACAAACAAACAAAAAACAAATCTCTCTTCCACTGAAGTTAGCTGTATTTTTTACATTCAATGATTATACACTGGTTATTACTGAATTATTACAAGCTAAAAAGTTGGAAGATGAAGTTTAAAATTCCTCGGTAAGCCTCAGAGTTTTAAATTTGTATCAACCCGTGTTGATACAGTTGATATCAAACGACACAAGGGGGGGATTCTCTATGTAATACATTAAATGTTACACTTAGGACACCTCTAACACTCTATATGCATAAATCTGCACAGTGTTTGTAAAAATATACAGCTATTCATGTCAATAATGTCTTGTGATCAATATACTTGAGTGAGTGAATGAGTCGGGTTGAACGCCGCTAAAAACAGGACTTCAGTTATATCTCGGTGTGTCAGCTCAATGTGAGAGGACAGCCTAAAGTCACGCAGGTGTTAGACTTTCCCTTTTAGTGACAACCAGGAGCACGAGCATTGTCTTCCCGTGGAAATAACAGTTAATGTCAACAAGGCGAACACGACAGTAAACACGTATTACTGACTGACAATAACAACATGCGTTGTCACGGGCCATGGTGTACAGCAGGTAGTGGGGAAAACTGACGTGCAGGGCACATCGTAGCAGATAAGAAACCCGGGAAGTCAACTTCCGGGTCATGGACGTCGGTACAATCTGTATGACGTGGGGCTTACGCCATGAATACGTCAACTGTTTATAACAGGAAGACCGCAGGGCACTGATTGAGTATAGGGTGACAACAGTGCAGTTGGGATTGGGAAAGCGTGTTTGTAATGCCATGATTAAGTTGGTTACCGTTATCCCGACAGGATGTTATGCTGTCACGTAGATCCGTGTTGATAAACAACTATTTGATATAAGCAGGGACTCTTTTCTAGCTTCTGTCTACACCCCACCTGCCTCTACAAGATTTGCTAGAGATAATACTTTTTACAATTTCATCACTGATATATTACGTTTTCGTACTATGAGCAATTAATTTATATTATTTGGATATTTCAGTTCAAAAACTGGCTCAATCAAACGATATTTGTGAATTTAACTCGTGTGCTGCCAACAATATATATTGGACTTGCCTATAGGAGTCGGAGGTTGGTGATGTGAATAAAATATGTGCTGACAGGTTTTAAGGAGGTTTTCTGAGACATCTGAGTTAATAAATATGGCCAAATTCTTATTGATTTATGCTAATCAACATCTGTGTTCATGTTAAATGGTAAAGCATCTTGTGATGGATGGAGAGTAGGCGCTATATAAATCAATTATGATTATGATTAAAAAATGCAGCAAAGAGGTTTTGGGTGATTCTGGCACAGTCAGGCTGGTAAGGCTCATTGTCAGCTCAGGGCCCTTGCCCCCTCTACACGAAGCCTAGACAGCGAATGGGACTTCTCCCAGGAAGCGCTGCCAAGTCAAACCCACCCAGAACTTTTCGGAGAATGTGAAGACTCCCCAGAACTGCAGCCTTCTGCATTACCCAGATATTGTCAGAAGGGCTGTATTCCTGGTAGCAAACCGGGGTACTCTCCCGATGTCAGTTAACAGATTGGGAGGTACCAAACCTTAGGCACCGAGAACAATGGGGAGTCGGACAAGGTGGTACTTGGGATGCAAGCGTGACATTTCAAAAAGCGAGTTCTGCATATTTGCCATGTTTTTTCCTGAATCATATTACTGTCAAAAGGGACAGAAAATTCAATGATATATAAGATTTCATTGGATTTATCAAATAGGAAAGATTAGGTTTGTTTTCCTGGATACGTCTGAGGCTGTAAATGGGCCTATTTATCATTTTCCATGACGCCCTCTACATATTCCGGGTCGTACCATGGATTTCCTGTGAGGTAGCCCCAAGTATCCGTAAGTTTATTATTATTCTCTAATTTTCAGATTGTAACAGTAATCCTCTTCAGACTGTTATTGAAAAAAAGGAAGTAATGTATTACTACTCTCTGAAATGATAAACTAACTGCCAAATACTCAAATGTCCATTGCCCCTCTGCTTTGATCGAATCTGGACCAGACAATCCAGTGAGCGTCAACGCAATTGGGATACGATGATATGCATCAATCAAGTCAGCGAGCCTAACCACCCGATCCCGTTAGTCGCCTCTTACGACACGTATCAGTTGCTGAAGGTTAATTCTAACCCGGATCTTTATGGGTCTGACGACAGCAACATCGCTGAAAAAAACGCTACCTTATGCACGTGCAGTACATGACGACCCGGAACACTGCGTTAACAGTGGGGTCACAAAACTGATACATCATTTTGAACATTCTGAGTGGTACAGAAAGGAGTGTCTTCTAATCAAAAAAACACTTTTAAAAGCGAAACGTTTATACTAGCTTCCAAAAACTAGAACGTGATAAACAATATTTTCCTAAGAGAGATAAAGAAACAGTCAAAGAAAGCCGCGAATAACAACAACAGTTACAACCTGTCAATACTCAAATCCGTTTCAAGAAGATTGCAAAAAAGAACATTTTGGAAAGAATGAACTAAAGACCGATAACGATGTATCAATAGATATTCTGTATCGATATTTTACAAGTAATCATTCTTTACCTCTTGAGAAAAGTCGATGGATAAAGTTGGCTTATAAAGATAGAATATTCAGTAACAGATGCTTGCGGTAAAAGGCGACTATGCTTGTGATAAAAGGCTACTATGTTTGTCGCAAGAGGCGACTAACGGGATCGGATGGTCAGGCTCGCTGACTTGGTTGATGCATATCATCGTATCCCACTGGCGTGGATCGATGCTCATGATGTCAATCTCTGGATTGTCTGGTCCAGACTCGATTATTTTTACCCCCATCACACCAAACTAGTTCTCAATACGTTCGTGAAAATGTTGTCGAACGGGCTTCAACTGTATATGGACGTAGTAGCAACTATTGACAGTCTTTTTACGAACTTCATGGACGGGGAGAGTGCTCTAGAACTTTGAGTCTGCTCAAAATGTTATCTAGCCAGGGTGTAGGGGCGGCTTCGAACCGTTGTTGGGATGAGGTGAACGGGCACTTTTACACGAACTGAACTGGATACAAACGGACTGCAGACTGGCCAAGAACGAGATAAGAACGAGATAGACGTATTGAGGACTGCTTGTGAACGAACTATCGTCGTATTTTACGCCAAACTACCCGTTCTACCGTGATCACAGCCCGTTCTAGTATTTTGTTTAGAACGGGATAGAACTACTTTGGTGTGATGGTAGCATTACAGACCGCCGTCGTATCGCTGGAATATTGCTGAGTGCGGCGTAAAACAACAAACATGATAGAATCTGCCCTTGTGTAAAATGCCAGTTGGCGTTTAATTTCAATATATATACATTTTGTAAACGAACGCTAACACTATTTAAAGACATATTTCTTCAATAATATTTATCATATTTATCGAAAGATATTGTCCCGGAAATAGTCATCTTCCCGAGGCATGGGCGATAACTCCAGTGGAAACGGGACGTTTATAATCAGTTAACTCCCCTTGCCTCGGGCAGATGGGAAATTGTTAAAAAACTAATAATTGCTTCATACTGTTGAAGGAAGGAAATTGTCTGCCACAAATTTTACATTTATGCAATATGTTGTTTTTTAAAAAAAAGAGTTCGGCTCATAGTTCTAGTGTCAATATATATCTGTTTTTGAAGTGTACCTAAAACAAATATGTCGTCTTCATACAAAATCCCAGAGCGCCACATCTCCCCGCCCGCTGTGGTGACGGATGCGTCCAACTCCCAAAATCGGCTCTGTCATCAAAGAAATGAAAACTGATGTGGTACAAACATAAATCTTTTCATTGCATTAAACATTAAATGCCATAAATATAAATACATATAAATAAATATGAGGTAAAAAATATGTCAATAAAACCACATTTGTATATAAATAGATCAACAGCATATTTGAATCAGTATTTCAATAAGAGTTTAAAACCATGCTATTAATTATTCAACATAATTTATAACACCATGTTTCTGAAAACCGGAAGCTTATTGAAGTAAGTCAACAAAACTGGCGACTTCTCCTCGTGAACTTGAGATCTCTGGATACACATATACGGGAGCCCTGACCTTTGGCACAATCTGACATTCTCAACTGAACGATGAGCGGACCTTCCAGCCCAGACACACGAGGTGAGCGGATTCCCGCTCAACCCCAGGGTCCCGTTCCACAAAGCGATCGTAGCGCTACGATTGTCGTAAGTCTATGTTAAAGTGTGTGAGTTACGATTGTCTTAGTGCTACGATCGCTTTGTGGAACGGGGCCCAGGGCGTTTTCGTCGTCCGTACACCAGCATTCGGAATACCAAACTGACTGACACTGTAAATGTAACACATATAAAGTGATGGACAACAATGGACAGACGAAGAGACAATGACGTTGCCCTGGACATGGGCGTGACTACCGACACAGTCCAGGGGACAATGGATCAAGGCTATATATGTCAATATGGAGCTTAACAATGGTGTAAGCAGAAATTGCAACTAAGTGGTTCAAAACATATGCATGTTATGGCTAAGGGGTTATTAGACAAAGCTTGTCCAAAATCGTCCGCTGTGACTACATTTTACCCCCAGTGCTATGAGAAAAAAACTTTCACCGTTCCAAGTATTGTCTTTCCACACACACAACATTTAGTCACTTTGGGTGCGCAAGCAGAGCACGTGACCAGATGACCACAGGGCAGGAAAAGCTCACTGACAATCTCTGTCTTGCACACCCTGCACGTGCGTCTGTCTTTCAGAAGTTTGTTCTCATTGGCCAATCTCTGAGAAGCCGGAAATATAGTGCCTTTAGAAGATGTTAGGACCAGATTTGTATCTGAACAAGTTGCTGTAGTGGGAACATGAAGTGCAGAAGATTGGTTCTGTCCCTCAGCTTGTGTCGATGTTGTTGCAGCGCACAGTGAAGTGGTCACGTCATCTGTCGTTGTCTGACTTGTTAAGTTATTGTCTGTTTCATATTTATCTTGCTTAGTTGCACAAGTAGATGTTGTATCCTGTATGAGGTTTGTAGCAACGGTGGCGTCTTGGCTTGCACCTGTTGATGTCGTATCCTGTATGTGGTCTGTAGCAACGGTGGCGTCTTGGCTTGCACCTGTTGATGTCGTATCCTGTATGTGGTTTGTAGCACCAGTGGCGTCTTGGCTTACACCAGATGGTTCACCAGGCTTCTGTCTGCCCGCGTCACTTGTTGGAGAACCACCAGATTGTTCGGTCTTCTTTTCTTCCACTATCCTCGAAGCAACTCCGAGTTGGTTGAGGTCTGTCTTGTTGATGAACTGACAGTGTTCCGAGTATCTCTGATGTTCGGCAACTGGATCATGTTCTTCCTCCCAGTCTCTCAGAGTTATCCCACACTGGAAACACGTGACCCGGTCAGCTGACCCGATGTAAAAGAAGCCAGCTGCTGCCAACTCCTCGGGAGTTTTGGGCACATATCTTCTCGGCCAATCAACGAAGGAGTCTAGACGTGCCTGTAGATGTTGGTACTGGGGATGTTTTGGAGGCGGAGTCTGTCCCAGCTTCCGGTACAAGGAGACGATGAATGGGCAGTGAGTCCTCCTGGTGGCGTGTTCGTGTAGGGCGTCATCTGTGTCCGTCCAGTTGAGGAGCTTCAGACCACAGCGTTCACACTCCACCTTGTCACCGATACCTTAAAGGTGGTACATATGACTCAAATTAAGATCGTAATATTTATATCGCAAGCAATTAAACAAACAAACAAAACAATAGGCAGCAACAATAAGGATTCGATATATTGCATAACAGTTATTGGATAGGGAGTCTCTTTAGCGAAAAAATAATAACTGGGATGTTTTAAATCCATTTGTGTAAAACGTGTTTTGGAAACAAAACCGCTTTCAGTCTTGGTAGTAGCAACTGTCACCCGCCCAACATATATCCTCAGTTAATACAAGGGGTTTCTATGTCGTTTGCATCGAGTTTTTATAACTGAGGCCTTTTTATTTATTATGGTGAGGTCACAACCACCGGAGATAGTATTATCTGGTACAGGTTTACAACATAACTCTGAGATCAACCGAAAAATAAATCAATTCTTTCGAGGACATGGAATTGATGATACAAAACAAACTCGTTTGATGTAATTATCACAAGGAAACATAAGGTTTGTAAAGCTGCTAACAATCGTTGTCTTCGCTTCAAATATCTGAACTCTCAAGACTGAATGTAGTATTAAGCCGTTTTCTTTGTAATATTGAAGCAATGTCACGACCGAACTCCAAATGCAATGTGTTTCACAAATTATACCGATTGGTGGGAATCGAACCCATGCCTTCGTCATGAGGAGTTAATGTAAGGCTACCCTGGCTTAGCTTCTCAAGAGTGATTGGGTTAGGCCTCTTTGAACTCATTGGAGGAGACTCGAGAGAAAGTATATACAATTTACCATCTCACATTTCTGAGGCATGCGGTAAGCGATTTAGTCAAGTATCATCCGTGCCTACCAAATTTGTATTTATGTAGAAAATGATTCATTAATAGCAGATATACTTACCTTATTGGCAGCACTTCCACGTCATCCCGTCATCCCGTAGACAAGCTCCATCCCTGTGGTGGCTTAGAGTAACTGTTATCTGATTTGTAAGGTCATTACAAACTGATATACGTGACAATGACATGCATATAGTGAGTGAGTATGGTTTTACGCCGCTTTTAGCAATATTCAAGCAATATCACGGCGGGGGACGCCAGAAATGGGCTTCACACATTGTACCCATGTCGGGAATCGAACCCGGGTCTTCGGCGTGACGAGCGAACGCTTTACCCACTAGGCTACCCGACCGCCCCGACATGCATATAGGTGTTGATAGTGTAATGCATGGTTAAATGGAAAACAATCATATTTCATCATGCCAGAGTGTCTACATAGAGCAATATATTTGATTATTGATTCTTTTGTTTGGGAGTTTTAAGGCTGATTATAATATACAAAATCAGTGTGAGGGGTGATAACACCACAATGGTGGATTATTGACTCCAAAAAATGCGACAGGACGTGACGTGGTTCTTGTAGTGCTGCCGTGGGATCAATACTGTTGATGACAAAAAACACTTATTGCACGGATGATATGTTCATTTAATGAAAATCGTGACGTCAATACATATATAAACACCATAAACAAACTATGAACAGATGATGTGTTAAACATATCCTGGTTACGTGCCTGTGTACGTGTATATTACTATTGAGTCCGGTTTTATTGATACAGAGTTCGGTTTTATCCGCTTTTATCGCCACTTTGAACACTCACCTCACTTCAGTGATACGACGCTTGCTGAAAAGCTGTTTGATCAAGGTTATAACATTCAAGGTCTCATTAAAGCTGCCAAAAGTTCTATGGTAGACATGTGGAGGACATTTCCAAATTTGACGCGTCAGTGACAAGAATGATGTCAGATATAATTCCCTATTTTGACTTGTACAATATGTTCCCGTGCTTTTTGAGGGGAACAGTTGACTTGCCTTGGCATGATTTTGTGACGGGTGCTACCGTAGGGGCAGGATACGTTCACCTTTTTGCGAACACCTGGTATCATCACTATTTGATAGTGATTCATAAACACATGCTCATGATATAGTCGGAATCGAACAATCGACTCAGATATTTGTTATGAATGTGGAAAGGGTCTTATCGCTTTTATTAAGTGTTATCACAACTATACTCTTAGCCAAACCGACGATCACAGTTTGGTGCCGACCGTCCAAGGATGATAATCGGGTCGGATCTTTGATTCGAACCGATGATCAACGGACACTACCGCTCAGCCAACCGTGTCTCCTTAAGCGGTTAGACAATTTGAATGCCAATTTACAGCTTTGATAGTGAGTGAGTGAGTGTGGCTTTACGCCGCTTTAAGAAATATTCCAGCAATATGACGGCGGGGGCACCAGAAATAGGCTTCACATTTTGTACCCATGTGGGGAATCGAACCCGGACATTTGGTGTGACGAGCGAACGCTTTAACCACTGGGCTACACCAGCTTTGGTTCAATGACAGATGAGATATCTGATTTGGAAGAGAAACGATTGAAAACGTTTGTCAGGTTTGGTATATTTTCAGAATTCATATTTCGAACACGATAGGGGAATCAATTCCGGAGCTTCTGAGTAACAAGCGATTACACTAACCGTGTGGCCATCCAATAAATGTGATTTCTCCCTGAGTAGGTTACACATAAGCTCCTCCGACAAAACAAACTGATCGTTCTTGAGAAAAGTGCAGCTGGGACCATAACAAATCACTGTGGTGGATTGTCAAAAGCCTGAAGAAAATATATGTTGTTTCTCATATAACCCCGATTAACACAATTCTCCCTCTCAAATATCAGTAGCTATATTAAAACAATAATATTTTCATTTCTAACGAAGCAGATATATCAGTATTAAAATATGGCGAGAAACAATCATATATTTTATTTAGGCGCGAGGGTTAAAAAACAGTTCACATGTACCTGTGAATGCGAATCCTGCCCTTGCTAAAATATGTCTGTCTTTTCTTCCTACCCATCTATCATCATACGTTCCGAGAAGTCGCGCGAAGCTGTCATTCTCATCGTATGTCCCGCCCCCGTCGCGCGCTGCCCAGGTGTCAGACAGTGTCACTGTTCTGTTTGAGCTAGCCATGGTTGTGATTATGTTTCCGATCACAGTAGCGGTTCTGATGATGTAAGTCTGCTAGATGTTATATATAATACCACGCAAGTGCTTCGAGCTTCGTATACTAACCAATGGAAATACTTCGATTAGAACACGTGATGTTGACAGACGCAACACGCCGAGTCATAACAAGATGTTGACTGTCCTGGAAATTACCCGACTGTTCGCGAGGCATATAAATAGATTTCACCGTCATGCAACCACTCCATTCAACACCACTAACACGTAACCTTCGGCTTGTCCCGGAATATGCCCAAGATCACGTGATTATGACGCAATTGATAATGATTGGCTGAGCCATGAGTTTGGTTATGAATGAGACTTTTCCAGTTGCGAATGGGATTTTACGCATGATGGAAATTTTGGCGAACGTTTCTTTAATAAATATTGGTGCCAATGTGGAATTAGAGATTCCAGTGGAATTATAATCTGTAGGGAATGAAAGGACATCGATGGAGAAAGCATTATACAACTGACTACTAAATTATCAGCAATATTTAGTTTTTCGTACACAAAAAGTATAATTAAGGATAGTTATATGCTGAAAACAATGTAATAGTGTTTACATTTTTAAAATACCAATCGCGTCTGTTCAAAGGTCGCGACAAATATCCCAAAACTATCGGTTGATATTTCCATACGTTTTTAATCATTTAAAACACTTGTGAATCCTCTATGTCCTGGCTTTATACTCTTATCGGTTGAAGGTCTGGTATGCGCACGATCAAAACACTACAGTTACAACACACATCCGATCTTGGATGTAATTTAAGCTGAGACAAATCATACAAAATAACTTTCATAATTTGGGCTGTATGTTCAATATTTGTGTTAAACTTATTGTAATACTAGTACTAGTAATGATTGTGTAGCGCTTAACTTCAACACAAAGTGCAAGAAATGTTACATGAGTGAGTGAGTGAGTTGGGTTTAACGCCGCTTTTAACAGTATTCCAGTTATATCACGGCGTGTCAGCTTAATGTGGGAGGAAAGCCCGAAGTGATGCAGGTCTCAGACGTTTACCACTTCGGTGAAACCCACGAGCACGGGTATGGTGCTGACAAACCTAGAAAACATAATCGTGGCGAACCGGGATTCGAACCCACAATCATCGGTTTCTGGCGTGCCCAAGGGACGCGACTCTGCACAGCGAATCGCGGCGCCTTAGACGACTGGGCCACCCGTGCCCCCAAATGTTACATGAGTGTTTATGTCGATGTTACGTCTTCACATTTCGCTTTTCACTGTCAATAGATTTGTCCATGATTGTTCAGCACGCACAGAGGCGCCTGTTTCAATTACTGATTTATCCCTTCATTTAAAGTTATGTTTCCGATTACGTGCAGCGTATATTCTCTATAGTGGTGCTCAAATGTCGTAGTGTATATGTATCCTCGTGCTATGGGTTTTGGATGATGAAATGACCATGTCTTGTTAATTGTAAAGTGATAATGCCTCGCCGAGCGAGTCGAGTCGATCAGGCGCCATCTTGTTTCCGTCACATGATTTCGAGCCCCTCCATAACAGTGAGGTGAGGTCAAATGGGGTTTAACGTCGCGTCCATGATTATTGCACTTATATAGCGACGTGCATGTACGTGTTTGTGTTTGTGTGGCTGCTTGATGCCGATTTATAGTGCTAGCTCACTGAGATACCATGCCGCAGTTTAACATGAATACCCCACTGATACACAGTATACTGACTCCGAGCCGACCAGTCCTTGTTTTAGCCCCTTAATGCCGAGCGCCAGACAGGGTAACAACAAGTACCATCTTTTAACGTCTTTTGGTATGACGCGGCCGGGGATCGAACCCCGGACCTTCCGCTCTCCGGGCGGACGCTCTACCACTAGACCACGGAGGCGGTCCCAAAACAGTGAAGTTAAAAACAGATGCAATAAAAGGTGAAATAACATGCCATTATACACGGGATTGATTGATTGAGTTGGTTTATTTACGCCGCTTTTAGCAATATTCCAGCAACATCACGGCGTGGGACACCAGAAATGGGCTTCACGCATTGTACCCATGAGGGGAATCGAACCCGGGTCTTCGCTTTAACCACTAGACTCACCGCCCCTACACACAGGAAGCTTACAAACAGCGGCCGATACATCATACGATCTTTCTTATGCAACATTATCATCAGACCAAGCTTGATTAAAATGTGCATTAGTGAAAAAGTAACTTTTGAGGTACGTTTACATTGCCATATCTAAATTTGTAACAGGGGCAAGTGGCGAACACTTTGATGTCTTCAGTGCGCTTTGAAGCGTTTACCTTGATTACGTCATAAAGCGCGTGTATACGTTTGTTTCGGGGATCGAAAATAGGTGAGTATCAGACGTACGGATGTGTACATACATGCACATACTTCCCAACAAGGGAGCACTGTACTACATATATTGGCTTTGATACCTCGTGACGAATATCACATTGTGGATGTCCGTTAATGTCCATATCTACATCCTTCATTGAACGTGTTAACTAACCTGCATCGTATCATAGGCCCAGCAATTTTATACACAAAAACACGTTGCTATAACTAGGTTCTTTCTTTTTACCTTTTTTAAAGACCGGGTATAATTACAGTTGCAGCCCGACTTTCAGGAGAAAAAAACTGTTGAAGATACACAATGTTTTTTTCTGTACAATATATGAACTAAATATGTTTTATATTCAATAAAATACACATTTATTACATAATCTTGGAATAAATTACTCGCTGCATCCCACACCTACATCCCTAAATAACGAAAACATCGATGACATAACACCATTCTTAACACCCGTATTGCCTTTGGAATATTTCGAAAATTCAAATTCAAAATATGGCCTCTTTTGCGTTTGGAAAATTTGTCATGGAATTGTTCGATCTCGTCTTTTACCTACGAAATCCTTAAGGTGACACTTTGGAAGCATCTATATTTTTTTAAAATGGAAATCTCTCGTTATTTCAATTTATTCAAGTTTCTTTAAAAAAATCGAAAATTGAAATTACGAGTAAATTATTAAAATTGCGAAAATATTATTGTAGTAACCTCGAAATAAGGAGAAAGTCATAGAAACAAAGATAAAAAAAGATTTTAGAGAAATGAATTGAAATAACGAAGAAAAATTCCAAATTTCGAGTTTTTGAGATAATTTTTCGAAGTAACGGTAAAAAAAATGTAATATCGAGAGAAAAAAAATCAAATAAAGAAACAATAATCGAGGCAACGAGAAAATAATTGAAATAACGCGAAAGTAATCGAAATGCCAAGAAAATAATCGAAGCAACGAGAACAAATTCTGAATTTGGAAATTCTTTTTGAAATAACTCGAAGCAACGAGAAAATAATCCAAATAACAAGAAAAAAATATACAAAGTAACGAGAAAACAATTCGAAACCGAGTTTTTGAAATAATTTTTCGAAGTAACGGTAAAAAAATGTAATATCGAGAGAGAAAAATCAAATAACGAAAAAATAATCGAAGCAACGAGAAAATAATTGAAATAACGCGAAAGTAATCGAAATGCCAAGAAAATAATGGAAGCAACGAGAACAAATTCTGAATTTGGAAATTCTTTTTGAAATAACGAGATAAACTTGAAATAACGAGAAAATATTCGAAGTAACCAAAACAACTTGCGATCGTAATTTCCCGAAAATAATCGAAACGAGAAAATAACTGAAGCAACAAGAAATAACTCGAAGCAACGAGAAAATAAAACAAATAACAAGAAAAAAATATACAAAGCAACGAGAAAACAATTCGAATATTGCGTTTTTGAAATAAATTTGAAATAACGAGAAAATAATCGAAATAACGAGAAAAAACTCGAATTTTCGAAAACGTAAGTAAATAATTGAAATAAAAAGAAACATTGATTTAAGATAAAATAATAATTATGCTACCAAAGTGGCACTATTTGGCTTTCGAACATAAGTGTAATCAGTGTAACACGTTTTTTAAGTGTCATCAAAACACCTCTTGTCATCAACCCTTGCACGTGGTTGTGGATTATGAATGTTGACATCAAGCCGCACAGGATTGACACGTGACCCATGTCTATTGCATGTTTTGAAAAACGGTGACCAACATCTACTCACATTGATATGAAACTATCAGTACTACTTTCCATGCACATTTGACATGTAACCGGGGCTGTGGGGTAGCCCGGTGGTTAAAGTGTTCACTCGTCACGACGAAGACTCGGGTTCGATTCCCCACATGGGTACAATGTGTGAGGTCCATTTGTGTTGTCACAAGCCGGGATTTTTCTGGAATATTGATCAAAGCGGTTCAAAATCATACTCACTCAGTTAAATGTAACTTTTCCTGGATCAGAACATATTTAAACCTATCTGTATTAACAAGAGTTTCTTTCTTCAAGAAAGTCTGCACTCCAACGATGAATACAGCAGCTTGCCAAGGCGAGTGACAAGGCGTTCGATCTCAGGTTAGAAAGACAATGTAGGTTGGGAACATTTCAAACATCACAAATACACATCAAATAGCCCATAACACTTAATCCATGTAAACAATTAAATGTAAATAAATTATTTATTATTTATATATATAAATATTTAGTATTAATAATAACCAAATAAAAATGGCTTGGAAAAAAGCATGTCGTTCTCTTTCATCACAGGACAGGAAAGCTCTCGAAATACCGAGATTTACACAAAGAAAAAAATGTCGAAGTTGTCCACCGACAATATTGTAAATTTGAACTAAATAAAAGTTCCCAGTTACCAAATCTTGTCACCTATGACTGTGGGAGAGTCCCTTTATATATCACACTTTATGGGAATTGCATCCGATATTGACTCCGTCCGATTTCAATGCCACGTGACAAGTATCTATTTCAATCTCAATGACATGCACAAACAAACCTGCAATAGAACTTACCCAAATTGGAATACACCTATTGGAAATCTGCTTTTGCTGTATGGCTTTGGCGAGGTGTGGATAGCTCAAGATGTTAGTAACATATTAGTCTGTCAAACAGACCATGAAACAAATATATCCAATATAAGCAAGAGAATATACAGATGTCAACTCCTCTATTATGAGGAACACAACGTTTCTTACCCCTTCATCAGGTGAATGAATGGCATGAGGCAGAGAGCATATGTATGTACATGTCAGGACAACAAAATTAATAAATAACAAAGGGTGGACAATAATAAAGGGTAGAAACTAACAAGGGAAGCGTGAGACGATTGCCGCTGATAGGTGATTAGCAATAGATCTATAGAAGCCAGCACTTTACAGTAATTGGCGCTGATGGTATGGAAGCCAGTACTTAAGTTATCATAGATAAGTAATAGGTAATGGACAGTGGGCCAACGGGAGGCCGGGGGTAATTAGCACTGATAGGTGAAAGAGTGGACATAGCCAGCTGGGTAATTAGGAATAAGTCCCAAGCACTAGGCAGATATGTTCCCTGGTCACGGTTCATGGCTGGCTGGTGTCTCCTGACGTCAATGGCGTCTTGTAGTTTTCTTTGTCGCCAGCAGTTGTTGTTGGTAGACAGGACTTTGGTGTCTTCCCACATGATGTTATGGTTTTGGTTCTTCAGGATGTGTTCGGAAATAGCGGATTTCAGGTCAAGTTTGTTAACAGAGGTCCAGTATTCTTTGAGTCTGGTGTTGAGGGGTCTGAGGGTTTATCAAATGTACTGGTGGCCACAGTTGCAGGGGGTCTGGTATATACATCCTCGGGGTTGGGATTGCGCTGCTTGTGCCTCTGCCATTGGCTTGTAGATGGACGCTAGCGAAGGTGACATCTATGTTGGCTTTGTTCTTGAAGAGGCGGCAAATCTGGGTGACAGGGCCTGGGTAGGGTATGGTGATTCTGATGGGCGAATGAGCTTGTTTGGGCCTAGGGTCGGAGTTCTTGAGGGTCTTGCGGATGGTGAAGAATTGACTTTCCTTTGCATGTGTTTGTGAAGGGTGCCACCAGTGGTGTAGGATACCCTCACCTTTTCGTAAACACCTGCTGAAGATATAGTCGGAATCGAAAAATGGACTCTGCTTTTAGCAACGATTTCAGCAACTAAATATACTAAATATACTAAATATACTGAGTCAACTACAAAATGAAATGTTAGTGTAAGTCTGTATAAAATACATAAACAGATGTTGGGTGATATTCACATTCGCGACATTTCTCAGTTACCATATTTCTTACGTGAGAAACGTTTTAACTGTTCCAAGGATTGTCTTCCCGCACGCGCTACATTCCGACACCTTGGGCGCGCAGTCAGAGCAGGTGACAAGATGCCCACAGGGCAAGAAAAGCACGCTGACAGCCTCCATCCGGCATACCCTGCATGTGCGTTTTGCCTTCAAACGCCTGTTTTCCTGAGCCAATCGCTGAGAAGTTACTGGGCTTGTATTTGGAAGGGATTTTGAATGAGGTGGTTGTATTTTGTCATCTTCGGAGTGATGTTCCCAAGCAGAATGCTCACTTCCAAGGGTCAAGGTGTGTGCCGCAAAGGATGAATGATCTCTGTCGGGTCTCCTCAATGATGTTAAGACATCGGTCGATGCATTTTTTGATCTGGTATGACATGCTCCACCAATGTCTCTATTTTGTGTTTGTATGTTATCTGTGGTATTTAGATGTGGACTTGCTCCAACCACCTCACTGGGAATACAAGTGTCCAATAGCTGTGTTCTTTTTTCCGTGGCTATTGCTTCCACTGTCCTCGTAGCAACTCCGAGTTGGTTCAGGTCTGTCGTGTTGATGAACTGACAGTGTTCCGAGTATCTCTGATGTTCCGCCACAGGATCATGTTCTTCCTCCCAGTCTCTCAGAGTTATCCCACACTGGAAACACGTGACCCGGTCAGCTGACCCGATGTAAAAGAAGCCAGCTGCTGCCAACTCCTCGGGAGTTTTGGGCACATATCTTCTCGGCCAATCAACGAAGGAGTCTAGACGTGTCTGTAGATGTTGGTACTGGGGATGTTTTGGGGGCGGAGTCTGTCCCAGCTTCCGGTACAAGGAGACGATGAATGGGCAGTGAGTCCTCCTGGTGGCGTGTTCGTGTAGGGCGTCATCTGCGTCCGTCCAGTTGAGGAGCTTCAGACCACAGCGTTCACACTCGACTTTGTCATCGATACCTGGGCAATGATATTTATTAATCATATTTTGAATACTAATAATTATTTGGGCCCGACATAATTTCAAAACCAATTCAAAAGACCTTGCTGTTCAATAATTATGATTTTTTTAAATGAAAAATATAAAAATCCCCATATCGCCATTGACCTCCTCAATTGAAACACTTATAAGCCACATTACTTATGTGCGCAAATAATCATTATGTAGACGCATTATATTTTTCTTTGGCGGCAGCTTTGGGCACCACATGTCACCCGTCCCGCCTGTGATTCTTACAGGAGCAACTCATGACAAACAGTACTTCTATGTAATTGTCATCAGGAGGACAAAAGGAATATTTTTTTTATCTTGTATTTATACCACCAGGGGGAGTTGCTGAACTGGATCCATATCCAGAGAGGTTCGACTTAACCCCACCATGAGGGAAACTGAAACGACCCTTTGCATCTTTTAGTACACGCCGCTATTATGACGCCATAATGTGTTCGGGACAAGGATGCACAAGCAGTGTGACGAAGTAATATATGACGTCACAGTACTGATGGCGTGGAGGCAAATGTAAAACTGATAGTGATGTTAATGAATTTCAGTTTAGTAGTATGTGTTTTATTCTTTAATATCAATTCTCTAATGTTATGCCTCACCATAATTGCGATTTTTGAGAGAATCTCATTCATGTCTCAAATGGATGAGATGCTCTAAAATTGTTGATACGAGTGTGAGATTCTTTTTATCATCCAAAATCATTCTTAAATCTTTTGCACGTTGTAAACAGTAATACCCAGGGCAAGAGGTAAAATATTACTAGCTTTACAGGCAGAAATTAGTGATGTCATCTAATTGTGACGTCATGGTAATCGATTGTGACGTTTCAATTTAATCTGTAAGAAGATTTAATTTGATTTGCACCTAAGCGATATCTCTCAAGGGTGGGTGATAAACTCTTTTATCGATCGTTCGTCGGGGTTCCGTCCGAAATGTATTGCCACCCTTGTTTTAAAAATAATCTAGGATCCGTTTATTCATAAAAAACATTATTTGAAATTGCCTATCGGTTGGTGTTTATGGAAGGAGTGCTGGCAAACAATTTCGCGTTCATAATGATGCGATTGTATATGAAATAAATCTAGATTCGATCGCTAGCGGACAAATCGGATTGCACCTAAAATGTCGTTGTAGAATTATGAATAATTGAATTCTCATGTTTACCTGTAAAGGCAAACCCTGCCCTCGCTAAGGTGTGTCTGTCTTTTCTTCCCGCCCATCTGTCATCATATGTCTCGAGAAGTCGCGTGAAGCTGTCAATCTCACCGAATGTCCCGCCTCCATCACGTGCTGCCCAGGAATCTGACAGTCTCACTGTCGTGTCGGTGCTTGCCATTGAAGCTGTATTTTGTTCACTGTAAAACATGTGCGACGAACATTAAAACGATGAATTTATGACAATGTTTACCACACGACAGCTATAACTATATGACGGATAAACATGCCTTTCCCAACAGTTAAATATAGATTGCCGGGCACTGCACAAGATCACACAATTCGATTGGCTGAATAACGTGTAAGGTTGCTTGAATGGGATTTTTATGAATGGCGAATTTTATTGGCGATCATTTGGTTAATAAATATTACTGCCATTGTATAAATATAGAATACTAAACGAGCTCCCGTGTAATACCAATTTTATGAAACGAGTGAATAGTTGTGGTATCTGACGAGCGAAAGCGAGTCAGATACCACAACTATTCATGAGTTTCATAAAGTTGGTTTTACACGGGAGCGAGTTTAGTATTTTATTTATTACTTGCCATTCATAACGTTTTTAGATTTTTACTGTTGAGTATGAGTAGGCTGACACCTACACGATCCACGGCATAGTGCAATTGAGTTTAACAGAATAATACTTCAAACACGTCAAAAGTTGAAACGTATGAATTCAATACCATACAACGGTCCACCTTTAGAATTCACAAAATTATCGTAGGGCTTAGACTATCGCAACTCACATACTTTAACTTAGACTAACAACTGTCGTTGCGCTACAATACGATCGCCTTGTGGAACGGACCTTGCACCTCAAAGTTTACAATAACGTCACAATACCCGATGACGTAATTTGTGAAATTTTGTTGCAAGATCCATCGGCGAAACAATGCCATGTGACGTCAGCCTAGCAGCAAGGTTGCTGGGGTCATCGGGTGTGCATAAGCTCCTCTCAGTGATCTATCAACTCCACACGCAATGTCGTTGAATAAGCCAAGGGATGTTGAGAGCTTTCAATATTTGTTCGTGAAACGTGTTCCGAGAGTGCATAAGCACGCGTTTTGGTATTACACAATGTGTAATACAGCTGTATGTTTATTAAAGGGTTGATCTCTTCACGGGCAAGTAATAATCATAGATAACCAAGCTAGCTAGAGGGTTTTTAAGAATATCTTTATCTGACCTGAGAATGTCAACGAGGAATTGGATATTGGCCAATCTCATTCAAATCAGATCTTAGTTCTCACTATCGCTAAACAAAGATCTGAGGACATCCCATTACGGGTCACTTCAGAACGACCTTTCATCCAACCAATCAGAGCGTCACTTACCAGATCATGAACGTGACAGTCGGAATGTGTTTTCTTATAATGCAACCACGAAATATTTAACACGGGGTATTCCGAACGACAGTTACGGGTTTTATGATTATATCCTTACAATTTAGGTCATCTTTTAGCCGTTCCAGAATGTTCTTTTTTTAAAAAATCTCTTAATCGAGAAAACGTCAAAATATGTTTCGAAGCGTAGTCGCCAGTTTGAAACTAGTGTCGTAAAGCTCGAGAAAGCTGCCTTCTGATTGGCTAATTTCGATTACTTGTCAGTCATTTCATTGGTCGGTCAAAATTCGCGAAAGGTCGTTCTGACGTGACCCGTAGTAAGATGTCCTCAGATCTTTGTTTTGCGGTAGCGAAACTAAGATCTGATTTTAATAGATTGGATATTGGCTGTCCCCAAGTGGACTTATGGTTGGAAATTTATCGACTGAACGACCCCTTACTCATTAGCCAATCATGCTCTTCCACATTTACATTATAGCAAATCAGGTTGTCCCACAAAAACATAATCGGGGCGAGCCGGGATTCGAACCCACGATCATAGGTGTCTGGTGAACTCAAGGGACGCAACTCTGCACAAAGAATTGCCTTTACTTAATTTAAAGTAATACATGTTTTTTTCCCTGAAGCCATTTCAAACTAACGTTTCCATAGAGTTCAATTTACATTTGTATGTTCATGTTTATGTTTATATTGATATTTGTAATAATCACAATGTGGTGTCCTCTTGGACTCGGTTGGTATTCACAAATTACAAACCAACACTCGTGATGAATCATTTATGTATCAGTTTCTCCCCATCTAACTCCGAATATAGAACGTAAATTGTATTAAAGTTTTTAAGTTGTACCATAATTTTCTTTTGCTCGTTTTTATACTTTTCGCGAACAATTACAAACAATGAAAAAAACCCGTCTTCATGACTTAAAACTTTTGTTTAGAAAAAGTCAAAACTATCTCAGAACAACAAACGTAATCGAATTTATTACATGACTGCAGCTGAAGCCTCGGGTAAATATTTCTTTGGTTTGGCGTAACAGGTAAATGCCATCAGAATGAATTGACAATTTAAAGGTCTCGCTATTCAAGCCAATGTTATTTGAATCATCAGCCACATTCAATGCATCATTCCGTATTCATACTCTCAAAAAAGCGAATCTTTATCACAATGAAAAGTAAATTAACATCCCTCGTATTAAAATGTTGATACCTGTACAACCGGGTCAAGCTGAAGTGAGTTTGTCCTTTCTCCCCTCCCGTCTGTCATGTTATGTCTCGAGACGGCGCGTGAATCTGTCAATATCCCCAACATCTACGTCACGTGCTGCCCAGGAATCGGTCAGTCACTGTGGTGACTGTGCCATCCGTATCTGAACTGTCAGCAGATTTTATGGCAAACGACCTAAAAATATGTCTTAGTAATTTCTATATTAAATAGTCCAAGTCTAAGAGTTGTTGTTCTTTAAATATTTTTGTTTCCAAAATTAATGTCTGACATATTAAATGAAACGAAACGAATTTCCAATTAAATAAATTCACAAATTAAACAAATTCACAACAATATAATCAAATTTCTGTCGGGTTGCGTTTGCATTGTGAAACCGCAAGAGTTTCATAAGCATGACGGGACAAAACGACCACTTCCGGTACGCAAAAAGGTTCAGAAACTCGTCCGAAAAACACATTTTTGTTGACGCAAAGTTTTCAATATGTTCGTAAAGTCACAGCACGACCTGCCAAATTTATCGATTTCCCCAGCGGATTTTAAGGTCACGAGTACAACACGAGTTGCTCCCCTTGTCTTCTCTTTCGTCACTGTGAAGTAAGTTGACCTTCCACAAGAGAAACAACACGTTGTTTATACCATGTTTATCATTTGAATGGGAATATGTTTGTTTGTTGCTGTACAGATCAGAGTCAGCTTTATATCAGCCACCTATCTATCTATCTATCTATCTATCTATCTATCTATCTATCTATCTATCTATCTATGTACTCCTTATTTTATTATTTGAATAATTCATTTATTAATATCACAAAACAATTTTTAGGTATTAGTAAAACTGATGTATTTTTCAGTTCAGATTTATGAGATAATAATCTATTTGGATATATATTTGGGGATGAAAAATTATCAAAAATAGGTCTAAAACTTTATCCTGTTTAATTAAGCTTAAGTTATGACATTCTGACATAAGTGAAACCCCAAACACTCCTTGTCTGCAACCTATTGATGGTATATTGATATCTAATATTCGATATCAATAATTCATTTTCTGATATCTAAAAAAATATTTCTTGATATCAATATTTAATTTTTTGACATCTAAAAATCAGCTTATACTGCTGATACAGACAAGGACAGCTTGTTGGTAATGGCTTGTGAAGCATAAACTGACTTTATCTTGTAAAATGATAGATACTTAATCGATTACTTCATTAGCAGGAGATGTTAATTCAATCATACAGTGTCTGTATAATGGGGCAATGACCTTTTTTACTGAATAGTCTGATAGATACCAGGGTTTGTATATGCATATCGATTTCTGGAAATGCCGGTGAATTTGCCCAGTGTCCTCCAGTAATGGGATTGAGTTAATCGTTCATCAGTGACGTTGTCTTGGTTCCTTCTGCCATTAATGGCAGCATATTAATGTCCTGCGTATTCTTACTTCCGCCATTTTCACCCAGTTCAGATTCGTTATTTGACGTGAAGCCAGGGGAGCAGATGGGGAAAGGGGAATAAATGATATCACAAATTGAATTTACTGATGTCTAAAATTCACCATTTTAAAATCACAAAATTGAAGAATTGATATCGCAAAGTCGATTATAACATATCCAAAAATGAGTTATTGATTTATTTTAATTCACATATCACGTTCAAGTTCTAATAAGTGATATCATAAATATATTTAAAAAATGATATCTAAACTTATTTATTTATGATATCAGTTTTATTATATCATAATATCGAATTTGTGATATCCATGGTTTATTTTATTTTTATCACCCCACGCCACACCACTACCCGCGCCGATACGATGACACCCAATCAATCAAGTGAGTGAGTGAGTGAATTGTGTTAAACGCCGCTTTTAACATTTTTCAAGTTATATCACGGCGTGTCAGCTTAATGTGGGAGGAAAGCCCGAAGTGATGCAGGTCTCAGATGTTTACCACTTCGGTGAAACCCACGAGCACGGGTATGGTGCTGACAAACCTAGAACCGGGATTCGAACCCACAATCATAAGTTTCTAGCATGCTCAAGGGACGCAACTCTGCACAGCGAATCGCGGCGCCTCAGACGACTGGGCCACCCGCGCAACCCGCCAGTAAGGAAGGTGTGAAAACACTAAATATAGTTATATCATAGTATTGGATGGCATCGGACATCAAGTTGGTTAGCGACGCGTCAATTTTCGTAAATTCCTATGAATGTCTACCATAACAATTCTGGAATGACTTAACAGGCCTTTGGTATCTTCCTAAGGCAAGGGAGCTAACTGACTATACCAGTGGAAGCTGGACTTTTACAGTCAGTTAACTCCCTTGCCTCGGGAGATGGTCTTTGGTGATGAATCCAAGGCTGAAAAGGTTTCGTGGGGGTGGAAGTCAAGGCAAGGTGCTATATGTGCTTGTGTGTCTCCTTGTGTGTCTCCTTGTGTTATTATAACATCCGTGCGAGGGCTTTTATGATATTTGCAACCCTCATCCGAGGGTTTAAAATCTTATAAAAAACCCGAATTGAAGTGTTTATCTTTAAGTTACTCATAAACCGAAAATAAATCTGAAAGAACACTTATCAACAATATTGTGTTTCCATCACACTTTCCCGAACGTCAGGAAATGGACGTAAAATATCTCTTGCACATAAAATTTAAAGCATTGTGGGTTATTAGAAGTTCGAGCCACTGCATATGAATAGATATTTGTCGTTCGATGTTACATCATTGCAAAATAAATTACTGTCTATAGAATATCCATGGTCCTAAGGCACTTTTTATTTAATACCCCTGGGACAGAGGGGTAAAGTCCCTGCTGGATGGTTCGTCTTTGAAACAATAGCATGAGTTGTGTTTAACCCCACTTTTAACAGTGTTCCAGTGGCGTGTCAGCTTAATGTCAAAGGATAGCATGAAGTGATGCAGGTCTCAGTAGAGTGTATGTTGACAAACCTAGAAACATAATCGGCGCGAACTGGGATTCGAACCTTCATTCATAGGTTTCTGGCCTGCACAAGGGACAACTATAAGCTAATGGACACTATCTTAAGTAGCTTTGCTCACATTATCTAAATGTACAAATTCAAAATATATTCATCTGGAAGACCAAAATGTAATCAATGAATGAATGGCAAAAATCTTCCCAAGTTTAGATTAATCTGTACACCAGTATATGTGGAAGACTTGACTTCCGGGGTAGGACTTTATATTTATCATTCGGAGCCTCTCGGTTTATTCCATTACCTGTTTACTACCTCTTTTCAGCCATGGTTTAACGGAACTATGTGACAGATATCTGACACCTTATCATTACTTGTACATGCAAATCACAATTTGATATTGCGTCAAGACAGTAATATGTCATAACTGTTTGAGACCCTTGAAGATCCTTGGTAGAAAAGGTCTTCAGCAACCCATGCTTGCCGTAAAAGGCGACTATGCTTGTCGTAAGAGGCGACTAACGGTTTCGGGTGGTCAGGCTCGCTGACTTGTTTGATGCATGTCATCGTATCCCAATTGCGTGGATCGATGCTCATGATGTCAATCACTGGATTGTCTTGTCCAGACTCGATTATTTAGACCGCCGTCATATAGCTGGAATACTGTTTGAGTGAGTGAGTGAGTGAGTGAGTGAGTTGGATTAAACGCCGTTCTGAACAGTATTCCAGTTATTTCAGCTTGATATGGGAGGAAAGCCCGAAGGTGATGAAGGTTTACACGTAGACTTTTACCACTTTGTTGAAACCCACAAGCACGGGTATACTGATGGCAAACCTGGAAACAGAATCGGGATTTGAGCCCGATATCATAGGTATCTGGCGTGCCCAAAGGACACCTTAGGTGACCGGGCCATCCGTGCCGCCCCCCTTTAAATTGAAAAAAAACACCACAGAAACTGTCTCCCCCGTGTACACATACATGTAATACTGTACAACATTACATTTTTCACAGTGGACGGCCAGGATTATTTATAAGCGACAAAATGCAGGTTAACTGACGGGCAAAAGAAAGTATACATCGATTTTTGATGTTGACTAAAATGAAACAAACAAGAAAAGGTTACTGTATTTGATTGTGATGTATTTCATACGGGTATCATATATAATAGTTATGTTTTGGACCTTAAGTTTGCAGCGACTGTTTTGGCGACAGATTTCAACTAAGTTTTGATAGAATTCGTAATGTTTTGGTCAAATGCAATCTTCAAGTGTATACTTTCTTTTGCCCATCAGTTTATCATTGCAGGAAAGGGCAGCGTTTTCTTCTTTGGGCTTTTTAGTAAATTAAGCTTCATGCCACAAGAATTTTGTTGGACACTCTAAAACGACACCATCATGACTGACACATTCTTATAACTCGTACCTTTTGAAATTAGAAATAACTTACTTCGCAGGGTTTTAATCGAGTTTTAATATGTGAAACTGAATCATTTCATACATATCACTATTAGGTGAAAAACGTTTTGACTGTTCCAAGTAGGGTTTTGCCACAAATTATACAATCTGTTATCGTTGGCGCACAGCCAGAGCACGTGACCAGATGACCGCACGGCAAGAAGAGTACACCAACAGCCTCGTTCCGACACATCCTGCACGCGCTTTTCTCACGGAGACGTTTGTTCTCGACAACCAATCGCTGAGAGGTAGGCGTGACAAGTGAACCTTCTCGTCCTGGCTGCGATGCCTGTGGATCTGTGGAACATGAAACAGATGGGTGAGTCTTTGGCAAACTGTCAGTTCCTCCAGCCGTCGGTTGTATAGGTGATGATCTTGATACAGAGGAATCCGCTTCAAGTATTTGACAAGCTGAAAAATTCAGACCTCCAACCATTGGTCTGAGACGTTCATTGGTCGAAGATGATGTCCTTTGTATTGAGCAAGCCTCAGGGGTGTTGGTAACGTGATTGTTATTAACTGAATTCTGCCTGTCTGTGTCAGTTCGTCCATTGTGTTCGGTCTTCTTTTCTTCCACTGTCCTCGTAGCAACTCCGAGTTGGTTCAGGTCTGTCTTGTTGATGAACTGACAGTGTTCAGAGTATCTCTGATGTTCGGCCACAGGATCATGTTCTTCCTCCCAGTCTCTCAGAGTTATCCCACACTGGAAACACGTGACCCGGTCAGCTGACCCGATGTAAAAGAAGCCAGCTGCTGCCAACTCCTCGGGAGTTTTGGGCACATATCTTCTCGGCCAATCAGCGAAGGAGTCTAGACGTGCCCGCATATGTTGGTACTGGGGATGTTTTGGGGGCGGAGTCTGTCCCAGCTTCCGGTACAAGGAGACGATGAAGGGGCAGTGAGTCCTCCTGGTGGCGTGTTCGTGTAGGGCGTCATCTGTGTCCGTCCAGTTGAGGAGCTTCAGACCACAGCGTTCACACTCCACCTTGTCACCGATACCTGGGTAATAAATAAATTAATATCAGAAAAGTAAATTGATTAAAAGCCAAAAAAGCGACAAAACCCTTTCAAAAAGAAATCAGAGTCGATGGGACGATTCCGACTATATCATGAGCATGGATTTATGAATCACTATCAAATAGTGCTGACACCTGATGTTCGCCACAGGTGGCACCCATCACGAACACATGCTAATCCAATAAATGTACACCGTTGATAGCTTCAGAAGTCATTGAGTTACAAGCGATAATTTGTTAGTTTTCTAACATCATTATAAGACATAATATATTGTTATATTTCGCTGTCTCCAAGTCTCCAACTACGCTCATTGGCCTGTATTATTACTCGGTCAACGGATCAGTCTGCGTGCACATCTATATTACTTCCTCCCCGGGGAGTATTAACCCGATAAAACAACCTCCTAGCTTTCTTCCCACATGCAGCCGACACGACGTGGTATAACTGGAATACTGTTCAAAGCGGCGTTAAACCCAACTCACTCACGTGCACGAGAGTGAGTGAGTGAGTATGGTTGAACGCCGCTTTTAGCAATGTTCCAGCAATATCACGGCGGGGTACACCAGAAATGGGCTTCACACATTGTACCCATGTCGGGAATCGAACCCGGGTCTTCGGCGTGACGAGCGAACGCTTTAACCACTAGGCTACCCGACCGCCCCCTCACGTGATTTTGCATTTCCATTTCATCCAACCGAATACTTATTTGCATTTCTGTTGCTTGAATAGAAGCATCTTTCGAATAAAGTCACTTCCCTCCGAAGAAGACAACGTACGTCTTTATTTTGTTCATTCAGAGGGGCGGTCGGGTAGCCTAGTGGGTAAGCGTGCGCTTGTTACGCCAAGGACCCGTGTTCGGGTCCGACATGGGTACAATGTGTGAAGCCCATTTCTTGTGTCCCCCGCCATGAAATTGCTGGAATATTGCTAAAAGCGGCGTAAAACCATACTCACTCACTATTCATTCATAATGACGGAGGGCCGAAACTCGAGAAGAAAACCCAGAAATAAAGTCTGCCAAGTGTGGTCACCCAGGCACCAAACATGATATGGATATTTGTGATTAATGTGACAGAATTGTGACATTATCACATCATATCATTATCAACATGATATCGATATATATGATTCACAGTCAGACAGATTATTTTATTAACATCCCACTCATGAGACATCAGATATATAATACTAAGTTAGTGAAATATTTATATTTACAGATTGATCATGACCAATTGCACAACGATTTTTGAGAGACAATAACATGCTACAAATGAAAACATATAAATATGTAATAAAAACAAACTTCAAATCATTAATATAAAACAGCTCTTCTTTTGAGTACAATGTTTAGGCAGGTTGTAAAAATATAGCACATATTTCATATGAATAAAATGTGGTGATAATAAAACACATGATTGATGTTTCTCTCTAATATCCGTACATTAAGGACATATTATAGCTAAAATGGATAGAATTATCATAAAACCGCCCGCACGTTATCAGAAATGAGCGGGCCACTGTAACTTGATAATGCCCTCATATTGCTTGACGACGGTCCATTATCAAGCCCGTTGTGAGGTGACGTCATAGGGTAGAGAAAGTGACGTCACGTATTATAGTGACGTCATCTGGTTTGTTTTATGACGTTTCCATGTTTGTAAAATGGGGTCAGTGACATTCGTGTTGATTGCAGTAAATGTTTCAAAACCGATGTTGTTGTTTCTTTATATTTGATAACAAATTCCATCCGTTTTAGCTATAATAATGATAACGCTATTTTTCAGGGCATTATCATTTGCAGAAGCCCTCGGTCTTTTCAACTGCCCTCCTTCGTCGGGCAGTTAATGGAAAACCTCGGGCTTCTGCAAATGATAATGCCCTGAAAAATAGCGTTATCCTTATAACAATAAAACATGCATTAAGCAGGTAAGACCAGGCAGTGATACTGGTTACACTATTCACGGACGTGTCTGATAATTGGCACATCAGACAACTGGGGCTTCTGGAGGAGAGAACCCTGTGAGATGAGCTCTGAAAGGACCGGGGCGGTGGGGCAGCCTAGTGGTTAAAGCGTTCGCTGGTCACGCCTAGGGCCCGGTTCTATTCCCCACATGGGCAGAATGTGTGAAGCCCATTTCTGGTGTCCCCCGCCGTGACATTGCTGGAATATTGCTAAAAGTGGCGTAAAACAATACTCAGTCAATCATTCAGAAAGGACCACGAGCAATCGCGTGTATCCATTGCCATTATACAATAAAACCCCACATAAAATACACCGGAATTAGTTAAAGCATAACCGATGATTGAGTTAGTTGTTGTTGTTGTTGTTGATAAAATATGAATTTAATCATGATTCGAAAAAAGAGAGTTTTGTTTGAGAATTCATAATAAAATTCTACTTACATATATTGCATCTACCTACTTTTGAAATAGTAAGAGGCAACTAACGGGATCAGGTGGTCGGGCTCGCTGACTTGGTTGATGCATGTCATCGATCCCAATTGCGTGGATTGATGCTCATGATATCAATTACTTCACTGTCTAGTCCAGACTGGATTATTATATTATAGCTGGAATACTGCTGAGTGCGGCGTTAAACAACAAACCAACCAACCAACTTGTCAAACAATTATATTTGAGATATAGACTATTTGCGATCCAGTGAAGATGAACTGGTATCCGAATCGATAGATCAATAGCTATATAATGTAATTATACCGTACATATACAATATTTATTATAAAATATTAATATTAGAAATAATTTAAGTACAAGTTGGATACTGAAATACATTTTACATGTAAGCATTGAGTGTACATGTACATATCGAGGTCCTACGTCGCTTCCTTCTAGTGTCAAAACGTCTCATTGTTTTTGTGATTCTACAATGTTCATGTGTTCCGCAACAGTTAATCTAATCTAATCAAAACGCGCAGTCACTGTCTAAAACAGATGACGCATTCTGAATGTCATACTCAGCTAGTTTACTGATGTACCCGGTAGTAACGAAGACAAGGCGGATCTACCCGACATCCTGGTCATTTGAGGAATGCCCTGTTGTGACATGCGATTGAAGAGTTTTGAAAACCCATGCACGTGTTTGTAAATTACGTTTGTACATTGATTAAATAGGAGAGGCGTCACATACACCAGGAAGGGGGTCACAGAAGAGTATACACAGTAAGTTATTCTTGTATTCTTATCAGATTTGTTTACCTTTATCCAGTTACTTTCTTCCTGCTAACCCAACTCCCGAAATTGCCATACATATGCAGCCTTGAAATGAACCCCCCCCCGTGATGATTGTTGGGAGGAGTAGGTCCCGAGTATCCATCCTTGAAAAAGCCAATCGGACCCGAGGATCTCGCTCACTGACTTGGCTGATTGCATGTCATCGTGACCCGATGTTGTTGGTCGTTGCTCAAGCTATCAGTCACTGGTTTGCTTGGTCCAGATTCGATAATTTCAAGGTGCCGTTATATATAAGGAATATTTCTGGATGACGTTCTGGATAGTTCCAGCACAGACACGTTCTATACTTGTTCAGAGTAAGTGACTGAACTGGCTTTTCGAGTGAGTGAGTGAGTGAGTGAGTGAGTGGGTGGGTGGGTGGGTTTTACGCAGCTTTTAGCAATAGTCAAGCAATATCCAGGAAAATGGGCTTCACATATTGTGCCCATGTGGGGAATCGGACCCGGGTCTTTGACGTGACGAGCCAACGCTTTAGCCACTAGGTACCAGACCGCCCCACATGTCACATGCATTATCTGTGATGTTTGTTAATGTAGAAACACATGTTATGACTGAGCAATGGGTCAGTGCCAGTTTTTAAATATGATATTGTTTGTGTAAATTATTAACTATGACATGCATGACCATATATGTTCTGGTGCAGGCAACAATATTTTCTGAAGAGTAATTTCCAAATTAAGAAAAAACACACCATATTATGAAAATAATTTGGATCTTAATGCCGCTTTTCACATGCGTATTCAGCACCACGATTCAGGTTTTCTGTGCAAGGAAACCAATGGTTGCATGTGTTTTGCACATTGGTGGATAAGAACCATGAATATGGTGCCGAGAGACCAAGATCACGATAAGAAAGAATGAAGGATTCGAACACACCGCAGGGACACAGTTTTAACGCGTTAGACACGTCGACCACCAGCACCCCACGGATTAATAACGGAGTCATTTTAATATTAAAACCCCTCAAAGTAAGGAGTGAGTGAGTTGGTTCTCCATCACTTTCAACATTATTCCAGCCATATCACGGTAGGGTCACCAAGTATTGGCTTGACACATTTACCCTTGTAGAGAAATAAACCTGGGCTTTCGGCGCGACGAGCCAACGCTTTCACCACTAGGCTACCCTACCGTCTCCTAGAAGTTTCTTACACCATAATAGACGAGAATGTCATTCACATACCAGTAAACGTAAAACCTGCTCTCGCTAGCACTGCCTTGTCCTTCTTCCCTGACCATCTGTGTCCATCGGCTCCGTAGGTCTGACGTCGGTGTTGGACATTCTCCCCGATTTCAGCTGACCCCCACAGCGTGTCATCAAAGTCCGAGAGACGTCTTGTACCATCGGACATCTAATATACGTCGTATCTCTGTGGATTCAGATACAACCAGGTCGTATTAGTTTACTTATTAGTCGGGGGGCACGGGTGGCCCAGTCGATTCGCTGTGCAGAGTTGCGTCCCTTGGGCACACCAGAAACCTATGATTGTGGGTTCGAATCCCGTTTCGCCCCGATTATGTTTCTAGGTTTGTCAGCACCATACCCGTGTTAGTGGGTTTCACCAAAGTGGTAATATTCTGGACCTGCATCACTTTGGGTTTCCCTCACACATTAAGCTGACAGGCCGTGATATAACTGCAATACTGTTCAAAGTGGCGTTAAACCCTACTCACTCACTCACTTATTAGTCACACATTTACACCATTTAAAATGTCTCTCGACAGGCGATAAAAACACGATAAGGCTACCGGATTATCATTGTTAGTTATTAATACTTTACAGTTATTATTCTTTATTTTCATAGATCGGTTTAACTATTTATGAGCATCGATCTTGGCCGCTCTTCCTGTTCGTGGGTAAGTGAGTGAGTTGGGTGTGTCGCCAATTTGAACATTATTCCAGTTATATCACGGCGTTTCGGGTTGATGTTGGAGGAAAGCTGGGAGTGATGCAGATCTTAGACGTTTATCACTTTATTAAAGGTTCTGACAAGCCTGGAACCACTATCCGGGGAATTCGAGCTATCAATCACAGGGTTTTGGTGTGCTAAGGGCGCAACTCTGTACAGTGAAATTGGGTCTCAAAGACTTCCATGTATAGACTAATGTTTAACGCGGCGCTCAGCAATATTCCAGTTGTATGACGGCGGTCTGACAGACAATCAACCAAGTCAGCGAGCTTGACCACCCGATCTCGTTAGTCGCCTCATGCGACAAGCATAGTCGCCTTTAACAGCAAGCATGGGTTGCTGAAGACCCGGATCTATTAGTATTATAACCCGGAAGTTCACGGGTCTTCCATGCATAAAAGGTTAGATCTAATTATATGTCAAACATGGTACACAATAACATTCACCATCAGTTAAAGGAAAAGAAAATTATACATGTACATGATCACCTTTCACAGGACTTACGGTGTGTAGAGGATGGAACGAATGCCTCAACCCTTGGGCGGGAAGCTGGTGCTGCTGAGTCGAACAACCGGAGAGACTCCTGCCCAAGCCGGCACAAACGTGATTTCATATCCAGTGACGTCACGGAGTTTTCCTGTATCTATTTATAGGGTGCGTTGCAAAGCGCCAATCGCTCGTAAGCGATGTTCAGCGATTCGCCTTACTATGGTGGCTGAGAGGGGACATCGCTTTCTCGCTTTCTCGCTTTCTCGCTCTATCGCTTTCTCGCTTTATCGCTTTCTCGCTCTATCGCTTTCTCGCTTTATCGCTTTCTCGCTCTATCGCTTTCTCACTTTATCGCTTTATCGCTTTATCGCTCTATCGCTTTCTCGCTCTATCGCGGTACAGCGATATTCCCTTTTGGCCACGATATGGGTCGCATGCGTCATGTGTTTCTATACGATAAAAAGTATATACGTAAAACAACATTAATGAATTGTCCTCAGTGTGTGTGTGTGAGGGGGGGGGGGCTGAGATTTTTTTCCAAGTCGCATTTCCAATTATACTTATGGACGGAGAATGTTGAAATTTTCTCACTATCTACTTAAAAATAATTTAACAGTACAGACATAGGTGCTTTTATAACAATCCACGTATTTCTGCGTACAAAAGGATTTGATTGATTTATGCCCCTATTTAGCTATTGGATCCCCCGCCCCCAGGCCAAGGTATCGAAACAAATAGCAAATAACACCGCTCAACAGCGCTGAGTAGTACGTACTTCCTAAAAGGCAATAGTGTTTTCCTAAAAACAACGCTTATATCAATGCTTATTCTGTTTGCGGAGTAGATTTCATCAAAGTGGAAGTCCTCACCCAAGCAATGGTAATACTACCGGATATTCATTATGTAATTTCTAGTTTTGGGATGACATATTGTTCTCAGTAACCGTAATGTGGAAATAGATAGTTGATTGGTTTTATATTCAAGTTGGTATTTCCGCTATTCAAAGTGTTCAGTGAGGCCGTCTTATCAACAGTCATTTCTGAGACATAAATGCTAAGTTTAATTGCCGCATTCGACGTACATGTAATAAGCGCCCCGCTCTAATAAACGCCCACGGCGTTATTTGCTAATATATTGGCTAGTGAAAAATCCCTGCACCCCTTCCGATTGATTAATGTACACAAGACTTATTTATTCGCGTATAATAAGCACTCGTTATATGCACACTTAATTATGGGCAATTAAATTCGGGAAAAATATATCTGTCGTACATAAACATTTCAGGCTGTCAGCATAAACCCAGAAATTCATCTTTCAACTCAACTTTTTTTACACCAAAATAATATTCTAATTTTGAGAGCGCCCTGTGCGCTTATCACGTCGAATGCGGTAATTAAGTCTACGCTAATTTGTTTGCATTTATTATTAACTCTAACGTTAATTTCAAGATTTACAGTACATACTATTCAAAAGAAGTTAAAGAACACCCGATTCCTTCATATGACTAGTCATTAGAGGAAGCGATAGAGCGATAGAGCGATAGAGCGATAAAGCGATAGAGCGATAGAGCGATAGAGCGAGAAAGCGATAGAGCGATAGAGCGATAAAGCGATAGAGCGAGAAAGCGATAGAGCGATAAAGCGATAGAGCGAGAAAGCGATAGAGCGATAGAGCGAGAAAGCGATAGAGCGAGAAAGCGATATTTCCCATAATGCCGTTCATTAAAACGGTTTTGCTGACATTTAGTGATCCATTCCTGTAATTCTCACCGCTATTTTGCCTCTTATGATTAGATTTTTTAAACATCTTGTAGTAGATAGATATGTTACAAAATACACACGTAATTGTTTCTCGTTTAGCTTGTATATTTTCTTGTAGTGTAATAAATAAGCAAGATTCACAGAATACAGATAGTCACTGTTCATATTTTCATTTTTTTCATAGTATCCTCCCCTCATTCCTCCATCAATCTTAAAACTGATAATATATTGACAAATAATTGTCAGTTTTATTAGCCAGTTTGTATTGTTTTACAACGTCCAAAGAATTATTTTTTTCGGTCATTAGATTTGGAATTGAAGCCGAATATATGCTCGTCCGATTTCGGGATCACAATTATGTTCATGCAGTTAAGTTGCATGCACATTAAGCAAACAAAAGATGTACATGTACACAGTTATGTTTCCCTTACAAAATACAGATGAATTAGATATATGTCTCTATCTTAAGTCATATATACGACTTTCGAGAGCGTCATTAACCCGTAACCCCATTCCTTGGACAACAGAAATGAAATGCGTCGTAGATATTTTTTAAAAACAACTCGTTTCTTATAATGACTTTCGATCAAACTGTCTTCGGGAATTAAATTTAATGCTAAAGTGCTTGTAAAATATAGTTTAACTTTCCCGCCAGGAGAGACTAGATATCCAATTATAGTATAGGCTCAGACAGGAATATACATATTTATGTAGCAATTCTCTATCCATTTTAACTGTATGGTTAACAATTGTGCGTTCTGATGTGAGTTCTGTAGTTATCTACTACCGGACACACACACAAACACATACACACACATAATTTTGACAAAACTATACTTAAGATATACATAGCATATTATAATGATAGCTGATTTAATATATGTTATAGATAATTATAGTAATGCATTTCGTATTGTTATCAACCTTAACTATGTGGCCACACTAATTATGTCTCTCCATATGTGTAGTTAACACAAGTACACATATCAACTGTGGTAACGCCACAGCGATGGGGGCAGTGGGGTAGCCAAGTGGTTAAAGCGTTCGATCGTCAACCCGAGGACCCAGTTCGATTCCCCACATGGGTACAATGTGTGAAGCCCATTTCTGGTGTTCCCCGTGATATTACTGGATTATTGTTAAAAGCGACGTGAAACCATTCCCACTCACTTACTCACAGCGGTGTTTATCAAATTACTATATGCAAGTACATATATTTGTAGATTTGCACAAGACAAGAAACACAATTCAAGTTAAATGTCAAAAAGAACATTTACGGAGAACCAAATTATGACACACTGTAACATCATATACTACCGAAAACTAGTTATAGAACATCCAAAATTATAAGATTGTATTTTTGCAAAACAATCAGCCATGACTAATTAACCAAAGTCTTCTTAACTTTTATATATAGTATATATTAAGATTTTAACCTGATTTATTTAGAACGTATTGCCATGATCTGCCACGCGCTTACGGCGAGATGGTCACATACAACTGAAAAGGGCTATAAATAAATCAATTATATTATACGCAAAATTCGGTGGATTGTTTTAAAATCACCGACGTCTCTACAGTTAAATTATGTTTTAAGTAAATAGTGAGAAAAGTTCAACATTACCTCCCAATTGCAGCAGATATCACATGCGGCCCCTATAGTGGTCAAGAGGGGATATTGCTTAACCGCGAGAAAGCGATAGAGCGAGAAAGCGAGAAAGCGAGAAAGCGATAGAGCGAGAAAGCGATAAAGCGAGAAAGCGATAGAGCGAGAAAGCGAGAAAGCGATGTCCCCTCTCAGCCACCATACCTTACAACAGTGCGCTAACTTTCAGCCGCTTGCAAGCGAAACAATCGCTGACTGAGGTCGCTTCGTTCTCAAACCAAAATGGCGGCTTACTTTGACAGCGGAACAATGAAATCTTGACTGGATCAACGAGAAAATGAGCAAAGGTAGCTAACACCCCATCATCCTCAGTCTGCTCCACATCTTCAAAGTAGTCATAAATTTCATCAGCTCGTCATCGAGCCTCATCTATTACGTTCTTTATTACGCGGATGGTCAGACTCGCTGACATGGTTGATGCATGTCATCGTATCCCAATTACGTGGATAGATGCTCATGATGTCAATCACTGGATTGTCTGGTCCATACTCGATTATTTACCAACAGCCGTCATATAGCTTGAAGATTGCTGAGTGCGGCGTTAAACATCAAACAAACGTCAAGGAAATCAAGCGGTAGTTGTGCCGCCATTTTGGAAGAGTGCGCAAGCGCTTCGAACTGTTGCAGACCCCGGATTGAGCGATGAATTTGCTTTCTCTAAGCGATTCGTGGCTTGCAACGCGCCCATAGTCTTTCACTGCTGGTCAGTCTATCGGTACATATATGGGTGCAATGTAAGAGCATGACTGTAACGACCTATCAGTGTTACGTTTTTGCCATATAAAGGCGGGATGGCGAGCTATTGGGGATATTTTCTTTGTCGATTCCTCCGAATCACATGACCCGGGAAGATCCGGGGTAGAATAGGTCCGTAAAAGGCGACTATACTTGTCGTAAGAGGCGAGTAACGGGATCGACAAGTCAGGCTCGCTGACTTGGTTGATGCATGTCATCGATCCCAATTGCGTGGATCGATGCTCATTATATTAATCACTGAGTTGTCTGGTACAGAGTCGATTATTTACAGAGCGCCGTCATATAGCTTGAATATTGCTGAGTGCGGCGTTAAACAACAAACCAACCAACCAACCGAATGCAACATCGTCTATTACGTGAACTATTCAATCAAAAATGGATTTCCATCGTTGGTATCATATTTATATTAGATGCTTATATTTTGGTTCTGGCAATATAATATCGGTAGCAATAACAAGGCATCAATTTGAAATCAACAGGCCACTCAGAATTTAATTGACCTTAATGCGTAATTTACTATCCTTGTGTACTCGAATTACGTGAGAAACGACTTCGTGATGCACCTATGGATATACATAGCAGATTGAAACATTACCACAGACTGCCTCCGTGGCCTAGTGGTAGAGCGTCCGCCCGGAGAGCGGAAGGTCGTGGGTACGATCCCCGGCCGCATCATACCAAAAGACGTTAAAAGGTGGAACTTGTTGTTACCCTGCCTGGTGCTCGGCATTAAGGGGCTAAAACAAGGACTGTCTGACTCGGAGTCAGTATACTGTGTCTGAGAGGGGTATTCATGTTAAACTACGGCATTGTATCTCAGTGGGCTAGGACTATAAAATCGGCATTAGTCGGGACTATAGCAAGCAGCCAAACATGCACGCACACGCACACACACACACACACACACACACACCTTACATGATTACCACAGAAAATGTGACAAACATTTCTATCAACACAGGTGAACTCACGTTATAAATTTTATTTTTTTCAATTATATGGAAGTTTGATTTCAGTCGGAGTGAACATGTCATGAAAAAAACGTTTTGACTGTACCAAGTATGGTTTTGCCACAAATTATACAATCTGTTATCGTTGGCGCACAGGTAGAGCACGTGACCAGATGACCGCACGGCAAGAAGAGTACACCAACAGCCTCGTTCCGACACAACCTGCACGTGCTGTTCTCACGGAGACGTTTGTTCTCGACAACCAATCGCTGAGAGGTAGGCGTGACAAGTGAACCTTCTCGTCCTGGCTGTGATGCCTGCAAATCTTTTGAACATGAAACATTTGAGGGAGCTTCGATCACACTTTCAGAGGCTGCTGATAGAAGGTTAGATGTCGTAGAGGAACACACGTCTAATGTATGACAAGACGTAACCATTGGGCTGACGTGACCTTGGTCCAGTGGGCTACTGGCTACCAAATCATTACGGCTACCAGCATGGTGGTTACTTTGTTCATTTGTCGGCGTGGAATTTATCCGCGTAGCAACTCCGAGTTGGTTCAGGTCTGTCTTGTCGATGAACTGACAGTGTTCCGAGTATCTCTGATGTTCGGCCACAGGATCATGTTCTTCCTCCCAGTCTCTCAGAGTTATCCCACACTGGAAACACGTGACCCGGTCAGCTGACCCGATGTAAAAGAAGCCAGCTGCTGCCAACTCCTCGGGAGTTTTGGGCACATATCTTCTCGGCCAATCAGCGAAGGAGTCTAGACGTGCCCGCAAATGTTGGTACTGGGGATGTTTTGGGGGCGGAGTCTGTCCCAGCTTCCGGTACAAGGAGACGATGAAGGGGCAGTGAGTCCTCCTGGTGGCGTGTTCGTGTAGGGCGTCATCTGTGTCCGTCCAGTTGAGGAGCTTCAGACCACAGCGTTCACACTCCACCTTGTCACCGATACCTGTTGATGACAAAAAGAAATTGGAAGATGTGATGGCGAGATCTCAAAACGCAAACCTGGTACTGCGTTTGCCGCTTTGTGAAACTGGTTTATATTAATTGTTGCGTTATTTAACTTTAAGCTGATTAAACTGCGATCTAATAATTGATTACCATCACCCCACTGAATGTACCATCTCATGGTATCCTTACATCTTTCGCGGGGCAGAGTTGCGTCCCTTGGGCATGCCAGAAACCTATGAATCCCGGCTCTCCCCGATTATGTTTCTAGGTTTGTCAGCACCATACCCGTGCTCGTGGGTTTCACCAAAGTGGTAAACGTCTGAGATCTGCATCACTTCTGGCTTTCCTCCCACATTAAGCTGACACGCCGCGATATAACTGGAAAACTGTTCAAAGCGGCGTTAAACCCAACTCTCTCACACACTCACTCACTCACATCTTTCGCTAATTTCGCCCTTAGAATTTGTATCTGTGGCAAGCTCCACCCTTCAATCAACACCCTTCAATCGTTTATCGCGATGCAAATGATTTCAGTATTTCAGTTATGTCACTGTGTGTCAGCTTAATGTGGGAGGAAAATCCGAAGTGATGCAGGTCTTTTGCCATTTTGGTGGAACACACGAGCACGGCTGTAAATTTGGTGCTGACAAACCTACAAACGATCGGGGCGAACCGGGATTCGAATCCATAATTATAGGTTTCTGGCGTGCCCAAAGGGGCGCAACTCTGCACAGCGAATTGCGGCGCCTTAGACGACATGATGAGCAGGAAATCTGGACATCTTAATTTTGTTTTTATGAAGACCGAAAATACGAACAAATACCATTGGGCACACATTGCACTCGGCCCTTCAATACAGTGTCACGCATGCTACAATGTGGTAAGGAGCTATGTTGCTCAGCCTCCTATAGAGGGATACTGAGATATGGAAACCTGTAAAACGAATGACTTCCAAATTACAAGGAATTACTTTTGCGTATCACTGTATACCAGGAGTATCTCTATCGAAAGAAGGGGCGGTCGGGTAGACTAGTGGTTAAAGCGTTCGCTCGTCACGCCGAAGGCCCGGGTTCGATTCCCGACATGGATACAATGTGTGAAGCCAATTTCTGGTGTCCCCCCGTGATATTAATGGAATATTGCTAAAAAAAACCGGCGTAAAACAAAAGTCACTCACTCTATCGATAGATATATTAGCATATATAAGTCATATATCAATATTGCCACACTATATTGCCACTGTTCACATGAACTGAGTCAAACGTTGGTGTGCAATTTCAAACTGACGTAATATATGCGGTGATGTAGTGCAGTCAGTCAGGGTTATCTCGGTGGATCATCCTAACTGTTGAAACATATGTCGCATGATAAACATCCCGCGATCAACAACGTGTGGCAACGCCTATATTGATGAAACATTAACCATACGGCCCCTTATGGCAGTGTATTGATCTATTTTAAGGCCGCCCGTGCGTAACTTCCTACTTGATCGATACACATTGAACACCAGTGTGATCGTTCATATTTATAAATAACAACTCACCACGGCGTGACGTATCGCACGATGTCGGCCCCATGTTTTGTTGTCAGTGTCAAGTGTATCTGTCACAATAAACACGTTGGGTGAGCTGACGTGTGTGTATTGTGTTGTCATGTGGCAACTGCAGATAAGACACATGTTGACTGGTCACCATACGGTCCATTCAGTGGGCGGTCATGGGAGGAAGTGCTTGACTCACAACAAAACTGTCAACAAAACTCCCCTTTTACTGTTCTACTACATATTATAGAGTTTCGCCTCCAGCACCAAAACAGCTGTGTATGTTGTGATGTACTGATATGTAAAGTACATGAAATTGTGTTTGTTTCTTTGTTTGTTGTTGTTTGAAGCCAAACTCAAAATTTCACCTATACGACAAAGGTCTGTAAATAATCAATCCAGTGATTGACATCATCAGTATCGATCTACGCAGTTGGGAAACGATGACATGCATCAACCAAGTCAACGAGTTACGTAATCGCCTCTTATGACGAGCATGGATTGACCAATTCCAACCGGATCTTTACGTGGCACGGGGGACATGCATGGGTTGCTGAAGTCCAATTCTAATCCGGCTCTTCACGGGGGACAAGCGTAATTGCTAAAGACTAATTCCTACCCGAGTCTTCACGGGACTCGACCATGTGTTGCTGAAGGCCAATTCTAACTCAGGTCTGCGTATGCGCATATGATTGTGAAGGGATCGGGCGAGACTCGGAGAATATCCAATGAGCTACGACGAATTAGAGAATATCTGTCCCCCGCGAATGAATGGTTTTAATGAATGAATGAACGAATGGTGACTTACAGCATTCATTCACTGGGGACAGGCAATCCGGGATCCGTAATTCCGAGTTTCGAGTAGGTTATTCTGTGAAGGATAAAACACGTTCCGAGGTTTTGGTTGAAAATGTAAACCCGCCTGGGAGGGAAGATCCTAAGGGTCGAAGGCCCGCAGGATCTTTCCGACCAGGCGGGTTTACATTTTCAACCAAAACCGAGGATAAGTGTTTTATCTGACTTATAAACCGACAAAGTTAATTCTAATTGAGATACGCAATAACGAAGATCTATATATGCGATATAACGAGACTATAAACGCATCCGTGAGCTATGTTGAGTGACGACGCATTGCCCGTGAGCGTCTCCGTCATAATGTGGACAGCTTACAGTCAAGTTTCATTTAGTGGCAAGATGTGGGAGAGAGAGGAAGGTGACGATTTATTTCTCACACAAACGAAAACTAAAAATGCAGATGACTGTGACGAAGAACGGCCCGATGAAGATAAATTTGTGTATCGTTTTGGCGACCCGTTAAGTATTGAAGATAAATGTCAACTTCAATTAAAGTGAAGAAAATCTAGTATTGCGGTTTTTTTTAAAATATAAAGGGTATGGAAGTCCTGGGGACTTACTGTGGAAGACCCAGGGACTTGATCTGAAATATGTAACTTTTTATAACGATGAAAATCAAGTCCCCGGGACTTCCACAGTAAGTCCCGGGTTTTCTACGCAAGTAAAACCTCATGTGGGACTTTCTCAAGTTTGAAGAAACCTAACGATCAATACAAATGAACACTCTGAGGTTTATAAGTATATTACCCACTGACATTTTAAGAGTGAAATATCAACCCAACATAGAAGCTTCACTGTACGCAGCCTAATTATTAGAGAACGTAATGTCATCAATTTATGCCGTCATGAACAATGGATGACGTCATATCGTATTTTTCTCAACAACGAAGCACTGTGGCGTATTAAGGCTTCAATTGGCGGATCAGCATTGAGATTCGTTAAAATGTACGTGCAAATATCGGTAGGTTATTACACAAGATTATTCAACCCTCATGGGTAATAATAACATGCTATTTGATGTGACACTGATCGTTCAATGCCTGCTACTAAATTGCTTTAATTAGCCTCTTGAGTCCCCAAATCACACGGCATCGATCTGACTGAGTGAATGTTCTTAAACGCCGCAGTCAGCACTATCCCTGCTGTATCAGGGCGGCCTGTAAATAATCAAGTCTGGACCAGGCGGACCAGTGACTGAAAACAGGTCAGCGACATCGGGATACCATGAGACACAATCAGCCAAATTAAAGAGCCTGAACACCCGATCCCCATTCAGTCCTACATTATACACGTGAATTTTACTGTTCAATGACGTTTTGATAAAAGTTCCATATACCCCGTTACAGCGATGTGCAACTGGCAAAAATACAACTCGCCGCCATGGCAACAGACATTTTGCTGATTGCCAATCGCTGCATTTTAGGCTCCTTACAGCGAAACGGTGTCGCGCAATGAATTTTGACATAGACTTCAGATGTACGTGATGTACAGAGCCTTAACATAAACAAATTGTCGTTTGGAGCTCATGTGACAATTTGGTTTTCAAATTGTGGTAAATAATGAACGTGACGGTAAGGTAAGTTCGTCGTAGACTTATTTCTCGGGGAATACGGTTTTGTGAAGCCCGGTGTGTGGGCTCGGGTGTACGGCCACACGGAGGGTACATCAAAAGGTATTCCCCGAGGGATAAATCTGCTCCTAAGAGTGTTCTAGTGTTGTATAAAGCCCGCAGACACACTACCTGTGTATATGAACCCCGCCCTTGCCAGGGTGTCCTTGTCCTTCCGCCCTGTCCATCTGTGGTCAAACGTCTCTGCCCTGTGTGAGGCACCGTCCGTGACATCACTGACCCCTCCTGCTGCTGTTATGGTCAGGTCGCACAGGCCAGATCCGGGCCCGGCTGACATTCACTGTTGTACCACTGGTCAATGATATCCAATAGCTTTATAAATTGAAATATTCTCACTACATGACATAATGTATTAAATACAGTTATGTACTTTTTTGAATTAATGTAAGTGTTAATCCATATTTTAGCATTGGACGATTCATTCAGACAATACAAGCACATAACGTGATACTCCTAGCCATACCAAGACTCACTGGGCGTGTGTTTCCCTCCGACTGTGACCCTTGTTATTTCAACACATTAGGTAGAATAGGTTTTCAGCAACCCATGTTGATTGTAACAGGCGACTTTGCTTGTCGTAAGAGGCGACTAACGGGATCGGGTGGTCAGGCTCGCTGACTTGGTTGCTGCATGTCATCGTATCCCAATTGTGTAGATGGATGCTCATGATATCAATCACTGGGTTGTCTGGTCCACACTTGATTATTTACAGACCAAAGCCATACAGCTGAAATATTGCTGAGTGCGGCGGCACAACAAACGAACAAACAAACAAATCAACACTTGACTCTTGCGGAGAGCCGCGTCATATATAAAGGCGTTAAAAGATGGTACTTGTTGTTACCCTGCCTGGCGCTCGTAATTAAGGGAATAAAACAAGGACTGGTCGGTCCGGAGTGAGAATACTGTGTTTTAGTGGGCTGTCCGTATAATACTGCGGCATGGTATATCACTGGGCTGGCACTATTAACGCGCAATTAAACCATGGACCCTTTGTCTTTGACCGTGCATTAACGAACCGAATTAGTTAAACACCACTTGGCAATGACGAAACTTCTTTTTTTCAGCTATCATTTACCTTGATGAAAGAACAATTTCAGGAAAAACGTGTCGCCAGGGTATTCGAACCCGTGAAAACCGCACCGTCACAGGTTAAGTGATGTGACAGTCGGACAGTGACAGTAGCCAATATAGTTCCAACTGAAATCTGTTTCTTATACAGTGGCGAAGCAACATATACGCAAAATAACAGTTGTTTTTAATTGCCTCTCGCGGCAATCCATCGGTCTGTCCGCTAGAGTAACTGCCCTTGGTCAAAGGGAAGCTACTCTAACCCTAGTCCATGAGACGTCACGGCCACGGTCAGACGTTGTTGACAGTCGGTCTGTCCTGTCATAACGTTAAGAAGTGTAGTCAGATGTACACAGTACTACACACAGCGACAAAACGAAACAAGGTAACAATTCAAACATATTTCGGCCAAATCCAACTATTTTAATTTGTGGAGAAGGTTTCAAGCCGCAGAGGTCTACAAGCACAGATATGGTCCCGCTTGGCTAGGCCACGTGCCCTCGCAAAATTGTTTCGAAATTTATGTCTCCAAAGTTGCCAAAACTTATAAAAATGCCTTAGCTACGTCACAGTTAAACACTGATTTTCAGTATATTAGACTGTTCTTTTGATAATGATAGCAATCATCCCTGTAGTTTATCCAGATTCCCGATGGTTAATTCTGACTCGATCGCGAGGGTGACGCCATATTTGTTTATAAACAGTGAAAGTAGTCCTACTTGACCTTTGATATTTGCATCTCTATCCGCATATGACCCCAACGGATATCGTTTTTATCCGTTGGCTTTATCCTGCCGATAAAACCTACCCATTATATGATAAAATTGTTTATCCGTTTGTGAACTGCGAAATATGTGTTTTATGCCGTTTTTTACTCTATGCATTATAGTATTTGTACGTACTTGTGATTATCGTTCAACGAAACGAACAGATATAAAAGACTGATCTTGATCAGGGCGGTTTGCTCATAATAAGCCCATCAACATGGGCAAGTAATATCTATGTGATTGGTAAATGCGCTCAAGTTGCTCCAAAATGAATGGTATACTTGGTATACTTGCCCCGGGTATACTTCATTACCCGAGTCGGCAAAGTGCGAGGTGCACGCAACATATTTCACGTGCATCACGCAGGGGCGACTCACACAATGTTCTTACAGTTTAGCTTGGAGCTCATGAATATCTTTAAAAATACCTTCAACAAAACAATGTTTTAAAGCATTTTCAGTGCAATAAATGTTGGACATGGTTAAATAGGTCAGATCGCTCAGACCATGTGGTCTAATCGTTGGAATAAGACTGCTGTCACCTGAACTTAGTCTGGAGTGAGTGAGTTTTTACGCCGCTTTTAGCAATATTCCAGCAACATCACAGCGGGGGACACCAGAAATGGGCTTCACACATTATACCCATGTCGGGAATCGAACCCGGGTCTTCGGCGTGACGAGCGAACGCTTTAACCACTAGGCTACCCAACCGCCCCTACTTAGTCTGGACCAGTAAAAGCACAAGCACAAGCACACGCACAAACACAAACACAAGCACAAGCACAAGCACAAGCACATACAGAGGTCAACCGCATCATTTTTGGATTTCCTCCAGCTTCAAGCTGACAAACTATGATATAAATATATACATGTATATGTATATATTTATATAATTCTAATTTACCCAGAGATCTGAGTCGAATTATGCGCTGACTTTTTTATGATCATGAGGTACTGAACAGGTGGCTTTCGGGGAAACTGAAACCAGGAACAGAACAGATTGTGGTAAACCTGTAATTGTATATGATTATAAACAACTGCATTCTTTAAGATGTTTGTTTGTTTGTTTGTTGTTTAACGCCGCACTCAGCAATATTCCAGCTATATGACCGAGTCATATAAATAATCGAGTCGGGACCAGACAATCCAGTGATTGACATCATGAGCATTGATCCACGCAATTGGGATAGGATTACATGCATCAACTCGCTTTAACCACAAGGCTACCCGACCGCCCCTTGTGAACTGTGGATAGTATCACAACGTTACGGGGCATGTTCATTCCTCTTCATTCGATGAAGTAATATACTCAATACAAAAATAATATATTAATATATAAATATTGTCCGAAATATACCTCTCTTCCTCAAGCAGCAAATGGGTAGAGATGGTATTGTGAATGTACAACCTTCTGGCGCTCATATATATATATATATAATGCTATTATATGTACAATGCTCTCTCTCTCTCTCTCTCTCTCTTTCTCTCTCTCTCTCTCTCTATATATATAAAATGCTATTATATTTACAATGCTATATAATTATATATAATGCTTTTCGTTTTGTTTGTTTGTTGTTTAACGCCTCACTCAGCAATATTCCAGCTATATGACAGCGGGCTGTAAATAATCGAGTCGGGACCAGACATTCCAGTTATTGACATCATGAGCATCGATCGACACAATTTGGGTACGATCCAGCCGAGAAAGTAACTGGAATTGCACACTGATATGTGTTGATCAGGTTGTTGATTCAGCGTAATAGAGATATGAACATATTCAGTATGATTATGATTAATATGTTTATGATTTGTTTCCCCCCATGGCAGAGTTAGAAGAACACTATCAGAAACGTGTGCTTATCAACAGTCAAGAAGTTGACATCGATACAATTTGACTCTTGAGATGAAATAATCATGGTCGTTATTAAACGATAATAGATCGAATTTAAAAAGAACATCTATTGCAGACTGGAGAAGAATAGCATACACGATGAAATAGTTCCAGTTGACAACAATGTTAAGGTTAGCAGAATTACCTCCCTTGATCGGGATTAACGCACACGAAGTTGCTTGTCTTACCTGGTACACCTGCAGAATACCATCAGTGGATCGGGACAGAACTAATTTGAAAAAGAATACCCTAATGTCATATCCTAGTATATATGTTCACAGTGTCAATATATAGAACTTACTTGTAAATATATCAGACAATCTATGAGGGTGCGGGGACTGCATGCATTCCGGTAGGTATTATCTTGGTTCAATGGAGTACATACACATTTGGACACACGTCATCTCAACTTTGGAACATCCACTTACAGTTTACCCCCCCCCCCCCCCCCCCCCCCCCCATAGGTATTTATTTAAATAACATTACTTTGGATGTTTTGATTATAAAAGACTGTCATGTACTATGATCAAATAACTTCAATGTATATTACTTTAATAACATTCGTTTATGTTTTCATTACCAAAGACTGTGTCATACTCAGTATAGATAATTATGTTAGAGAATAAACTAATCCCAAGCTTTCTAATTAGTGGACGAATCCATTTTGACCATTTTGACATGGGCGTATGACTAATGGGACATAACCCTGTTGTCAGTATGTAGGATGGATGACTTGACGCTCCCCTGCACTTAATGACCGTTGGATTAACCAGTATAAAGATTCTCTTAGAATTTTAGACATAGAGTGTAGATATTTTGTTTTATTCCCCATTTAGCTATCCAATGTTTGTATTATATCCTAAATACAACTCATTCATACAATTACAAGCGTCTATCAATTTAAAAAAAATACGTATTATAGGTTTTGTGGATGAAATTTTCTTGTTTCTTTATGACGACATTTCAGGGGTATTTCATTAGTAATAATTATGTGGAATATATGTCGACAAAAACAGCTTCCCGTTTAGTACATGTGTGCGGGTAAATATAACTAGCCATGTACTGATTGGTGCCTGGCAAAACTTCCTTTATTATAATCTACTAAAAGTAAGGGGAAGTCATACGCTTAAGTGAGAAAGCAAACAATGGATTTAACTCTGTAAAAGCTCTTCCATTAGGTCACAAGATATTTCAGTCTAACCTACTAATGTTTTGTATAAATCTTTGTGGAAAAGGCGTTGTAAGTTGGACAACCTTCGCCTGATCCATTTGACCTTTTAACGTCAATAAAATATGTTTATAACCATTACAGTCAGACTACGTTCGAGGATCCGGGAGACGCTTGTCGTAATTTTAGAAGCGGCTAACACGAACGGATGGTCAGGCTCGCTGATTTACAAACGTTTCAATTGAGCCTATCTGCCCTGGAGAAATGTAATATATAAATAAAGATGTTTCCCTTGTCATTTTCACACAAATACACATGATAATGACAATGCCAATGACAAAACCCTTTGTCGGTTTCTTATGCGACTCGGAGGCTAAAAATAGAGTGGGGAATTCCAATTTTTTATAATATAATTCAAACCCCACTCCCACACACATATTCTGTTTAAATAGGATGTACTCAATGCCCTGTCATGCCCAACCCCGAAATTACCTTATCTGTCACGGCCAATAATCGAGTCGGGTTATTCTCTTGCGTGGACGTATTATTATTTGACCTCTCTTTTACTCTCTCTCTCTCTCTCTCTCTCTCTCTCTCTCTCTCTCTCTCTCTCTCTCTCTCTCTCTCTCTCTCTCTCTCATAAGATTTCACGCAATTGGGATACGATGCATCAACCAAGTCAGCGAGCCTGACCACCCGATCCCGTTGGTCGCCTCTTACGACAAGCTTAGTCGCCTTTTGCGGCAAGCATGGGTTGCTGAAGATCATTACCCCGGATCTTCATTGGTCCCTTACATAAGAAGAGGTATAGAATGTGAATATTATAGAATAATTTTATTTTCAGCAAAATATTCTTTTCCAAGAAATCTTAAGTTACGATTTGTAAGGTATCTTGTATGGCTATCCTTAACATTCATTTGTCGAACATGTTAAAAAATGACATATACAGATGTAAAGTTGACAAAAAGTGCAAGCATATATTTGTGGAGTCAGTATTGTACTTTTCTCTACCAGCCCATGTTTACCATGTCATTGTTTACAGGTGATCCACATGACCGTCTATATACGGCATCACTGTGTGAAGCTGGTTCAACAAACTAGCAATTGAAAGTCAGATTCACAATTAAGTACTGCTTGTTTGTTTTTATGTATTTGGAGAGATTGTAAATTCTACACAGCAGTTGGTTTATCTCTTGCTGTAAAGACAGTAATAAGTTGCTTGTGGTTATTGCTTCAATGAAATTATGTCAGCTGCCTCATTCCGTAAGACAAAGGATGCTGAACACCTGTCAGTGATAAATAACAACAGTTTATGCTAATAGAGCGTAGACATTTTTTTTATCGTTTTTACTAATACATATTTATTGGAAATTCTGGACATGGTTCATTTAAACATATTCAATGATTATAAATTAATGACTAAATATATTGAGTCTAGCCCTCCAAAATTATTTACAACAAATATTTACAACATTTTCAAAATGCTAGAAAGTAATAAAGAAATGCAGTCTAACGCTTAGACTAACATCTAGTCTCTGAAATGAACATATCGTACAGAAAAAACAGTTGCTTAGTTATCTTAATAAAAATATAATAAAAAGGGAGCCCAGTGATTCTCTTCATTTTCAGATACTGCAGTAATCTAGACTTGCCAAACATTAGACTTGCATGGGCTGTATTTGATTTATATTTGTATCAGGGTCTGTTAGACAGACTATCTAACGCTTAACGGAGTAAAATTCATTGGCGTTTTATGAAGAATAGAAACTCTCGACCACGGGTTATAGTGAAAACAGTGATAAATCTTTACACTATTGGTAATATTAACTACCTTGTGGACAGCTCTATACATCATCGTTCTCTCATATCAGAGGGGCGGTCGGGTAGCCTAGTGGTTAAAGCGTTTGCTCGTCACGCCGAACCCTGGTTCGATTCCCGGCATGGGTACAATGTGTGAAGCCAATTTCTGGTGTCCCCCGCCGTGATATTGCTGGATTATTGCTAAAAGCGGCGTAAAACCATACTCACTCACTAACATCAGACACATTGCTTCCACACAGCATCCTCATCCAAATGGCCAGGGCCAGACGTGTCAGAATCCAATAATCACACTCCGGCGCAGTGGTGACTTGGCACAAAGTACTGCCACAGGCTAATTTGCATATCAGGTGCCCGGACCTTTCTCTTGTTTGTAAACAAACGCACTTTTTCAGAAATCAGAATAGAGATTTGGGAGCGCTCTACATATTGTTTTGCATAATTATGTAAATATGCTCCTACAACTGCGACAGTGAGTTGCATGACAAGACATATTTACACATCAAAGTGACCGTATCGCTGGCTCTCCGTAGGGCTTCGACGACAGCACGTGGAGCCGTACAACCAATGTAGACATAGCATAACTACGCAAATGGAAATAGTTTTTCCCGATTTAGGATATTTTCTCAATGAAAGTTAACCATTCTATGATATATGATTGTATAGATATGTAGACTTGTCAAAAATGAAACAGATGAAAAACATATGCAATATCTTGACTGGACTGTGTAAGATGTGACGAATCGTCACATGGCGCTGGCCTGTGGCAGAGGTGCTATGCTGGTCGCATGGAACTCTGGGTAGGAGAGTGTCCAATGATGTTGGGTTTGAATTCCAAATTGGTCCTGATAATGATGCTTGTCAGCATCATACCCGTACTCGTTGGTTCCCCCAAAGTGTTCACAGTCTAAGATTTGCACCACGTAAGGCTTTCATCCCCCTTTAAGCTCACATGCGGTGATATAATAGAAATACTGCACAAAGCTGCGTTAAACCAATCACTCACTACTAAATGTACAATACGCGAAGGTCGTGTTTCACGGCGATCCGGGAAGTGTGTTGTTGGAATGACTGTCATGTTATAGATATGCTTCAGAATAAACTGTCGACTTCAAGTGAATGTCACATCTGAATAGCACACTCAAACGTAAATGTTTAACAATGGCATTCTGTAAGCCCCATAAGTATTTGTTGTATGATCAATTTACACTTGGATTTCGTTATTCTGTCAGCACCTTTAAGGAAAAGGAAATATCGTACGGACATTGTGCCTATGATTATATACACACTTGTCAGGCATGAATAGTCCGTCGAATATACCGGAAGTGCTGGCAAGTGTTAGCTCCCTTTGTAAACAGGAAATGGAACATAGACGAGTGAGACTCCGACAACAATTCATTTCTAGCTTACCCCAGGCATGTAGTTAAACAACCCTGATTTAACCCCGATCTGCGAACTCATCTTTTTTCTCTCTTTTGTTCAAGTGGTCATGATGGCAATAAAAGCAAACTGCTTCCCACAACAGTATGTATTCTCACACGCTGCCTCGACAGTCCTTCGTGAACATATTTCGAAATTTGTAGAGCATCCAACTCCCTCAAATTGAAAGTCTGTAAAAACGTTTCCTTTTCTACTTGTACGTTCTGGGATGGAACGTTTCTCACTCTCTGACACGCTCTGAGAATATCATCAGACATGAATTAGTATCTCAAGGACTTCGAAGATCCTGATGTTTTCCAGAATACCTCTAATGTGATTTGGAAATCCAAATAGCTGGTTTAATGTCAACACCTCGAACAGGACACCTGATGCTACCATCGTGCACACAAGGATTCGTCAATATCGGTATTTTAACATGTCACTCTTTTGTGATTTCGACCCTGTTGCATGTTCCAGTGACATATACTATAATTGAAGTTCACGCTCACATTTCACGGATCACTTTTAGTAATCAGTACACACTATATACACCTAGGTATGGCATTATCTTAAGCTTCCAGCTAGTAAGTAACATGTGGGATCACATCACTTATCACCGATGTCTTCAATGATTGCGAACATGTCCACAGTGCATACTGGGATACTCCTCTGCAGAGCTGTGATCAGCGTTTCCATTGTGGCATGTCTGCCCTTCAGTTGCCTCCAGGTATTCAACATGGCCAGCGTCTGCATCTGAAGTGAGGATCTAGATGTCGCGCACCTGTCTACACACACATAGGGTAG